AAACGCCCACCTCATTTTGTCATTATTTTGTAAGAATATGTCATTTTCAGTACATATAGACTGGCAGTCATGCGGCTTTGTGTTTATGCTTCTAGTATTCAAAAGTAGCTAGCGCAGTTTTCTGGAAGAACGAAGTAAATGCATCATCAGTAATCATATTATAAGGATCCTGAAATTTCCTAGTAGTTCTCCTTGTTAGTGGAAGCGCTTGACTTGTTTGTTACAAAATGTAAGAATAAAGTTATACCAACTGGAAATTATAGACAACTAACAGCCGTGTACGAAGTGATTTGTTTGGACGTGTGGTCAGTTGTATTAGCGAAAAACATTATCCAACTCTGAGGTGTTCATCTATACGATATCTTCTTGTACTGATATCATGCAAAATTCATTAGTTGACATTTATCCGCCTAGAAGATTAACACTATTCAACATTGTTTGTGAATAGAATGCCTGTTGCATAATGTAGTTTCTTATTAACACGAAAGTGTGGGAAGATAAATCGATGCAAGGTGCTCGTTAATTCATAACGTGTTGACTGTTATAACCAGGCGGGGAGCATTAACATAAACTCCATCCTTTCTGTAAAAAGTCGGACTCACAGTCCATTGCTGGACTCATCGGATTTAAGATATTTTGTATTACTACACGATGTCGCCCATAAAGTTAGATGGATACTAAAAATCTTTGATTTATTAAATAGCTTCGTTAATGTTGGTGGCTGCAATAGGCCATTTTGAGGTCACTTTATGCGGTATGATTCTTTAGTTTTGAATACTATGATAAATACTAACATCTATAGGAAAACATACGCTAACTAACCAGTCCTTATTTTCGCATGGTCTCAAATAAGAAAATTGCGGAGAATGGCGCAAAATTTAAAACATTCGACGAGACCTAACGTTTAAACCGTGCCCCTGATAACGAGTTCTCACTTAAAAGATGGCTTCAGAAAGATATTTGTGATTGTATCAGCTCATCTACTTATTGGTAAGTTAACGATGTACCGACGACCTTTGCACTTGATTGAGTTTAGATTGATAAAAATAACCATGTTAAAGTTGACTTGACATTCATCCAGGTAGTCAATAACAAATACATCAAACTACTGATAAACTAGGATAAAAACTATGCAACGAGCACAAACATCGCAAAAATTCACATGTAACAGCTAAAACGCTGTTCACAGCTGATAAATAAAGGCATCCAAAATACTCGACAACACGTGATATGACTTGGTAAATGGGTTGGAGGCGAGACCCAACCAAGAAGAATCCTGAAGCTGGTTCTCGGGAGTTTCGAAGAAAGAGACATATTATTGAAAAGCGCACAAAAAACTCGTGCCTCAAATATCCGTATTCGACCAGATTGGCCGCTTGAGGATCGAATCAAGTGGAAGAATGCTCTTACGGAGTTGAGGACTCGCAAATTAAATGGCGAAAATAACCTTACCATTAAGGGTTTTCGGGTAGTCAGGTCTTGGAAGCCAATGCTTCCGAGGCCTGTATGGGTAGAACGATTGATTTCCAAAACACCTTAAGTGTGTGCTACACGAACGCTCGTAGTCTTAGAAATAAAACGTCCGAGCTAAGTCTGATGGTGCAAGAATTATGTCCCGATATAATCGTTGTTACAGAAACTTGGTTCACCGTTGATATAGACTGTTCTCCTTTCATTGCTGGTTATATCTGTATCAGAAGTGATAGAGTTTCAAGTCGCAAGGGGGAGGTATAATATTTTACGTTAGGGATCACTTTCGTATACAATCAACCATATCGGAGGCTCATATCAGTGGCACATGTGAGGTTGCATGTTGTAAGATTAAATCTAGAAATGGGTTAGTGACTATAGGGGGAATATACCGTAGTCCGTCTTGTCTGGCTGACGACTTTATCCTAAGACACATCTGTTCTTGGAGTATGGCAGAATGTTGTCTCATCATTGGGGACTTCAACGCACCGCATATCAACTGGATAGAGCTTACAGCTCCAGGTAGCGGTTTCGATAGCGACCTTTTATCTACCGTTATTCAGTGTGCACTTGTACAATGTATCACAAAACCGACACATATTGATTTGCATCATGTTCCGTCACTGCTGGACCTCGCCCTCACCCACCACTCTGAGGATGTCTTTGATATCCAGCACCTTCCTCCACTAGTGAACAGTGATCACGTTGTAATTCACTTTAAGTTTAGGACACATGGTATACAATTCGTATCTGCTCCACCCCGTCCCAATATCTGGCGAGCTAATATTCCGGAAATCAGAAACCGTGCTATCTCGACCGATTGGTCGGTCGACGCGGATGGATTGATCGAAGATGAATGGAATAAGTTTAAGGCTACATTCGAGTCCGTAACGTCGCCGTTTATCCCATGGTCAGCACGTAAGCTATCACATTGCCCTCCATGGATTAATAAGGAAACCCGGAAGCTGTTAAAGCGTAGGAAACATTTCTGGGACTTATTCTTGTTGACAGGTCATGCACCATTTAAGCGTGAGTATCAAAAATACCGTAATATCTGTAAGAAAACCATAGCGAAATCCCGTACCACTTACGAACGACAGTTAGTATATGATAGCCGTACTTGTCCGAAACGATTGTTTTCGTATGTTAAACGGCAAATGAAACGTAGTGATGGTATTCCCCCGTTGCTGTTACACGAAAATTCAGAATTACTAGCTGAATCAGATCGAGCAAAAGCTGAGACTTTTTCAGATTATTTTAGCGAAGTCTTCTCTACGTTTATTGTAACAAATACTTGTCCCACTCACACCGAGATACCAACCATTGAATCCGTACAGGTGACTGAGGAAACTGTCCTTCCGTTGATAACTAACCTCAAACCTGGTAAGATACCGGGCCCTGACGGGTTACATCCACGGTTGCTGTCATCTCTTGCGGACATTATTTCAAAACCGCTTGCGACACTCTTCAACATGTCCCTCTCACTCGCCCAACTCCCTAGAGATTGGAAGGACGCTATAGTTAGTCCTATATTTAAGGACGGTCAGCGACAGATAGTATCTAACTACCGGCCTGTCAGTCTAACTAGCATAGTCGTTAAGTTACTCGAAAAGATAATTCGGGTTAGGTTGCTAAGCCACATAGATTTACACAATCTGTTAGCTCCTGAGCAACACGGATTTCGTAACAAGCGTTCATGCTTGACTAACTTGCTTATTGCGAGGGAGGATTGGACAGCAGCCCTAGATCACGGTCTGTCTGTCGACGTGATATTCATAGATTTTAGCAAAGCGTTTGACAAGGTTTCACACGTAGGTCTTATGCAGAAGCTCACGAGCTTCGGAATAATAGGTACTGTACATGAGTGGATAGGAAATTTCTTATGTGACCGCAGACAGAGAGTTAGGGTCAATGGAACGCTATCCGATTGGAAGCCGGTCAAAAGTGGTGTACCCCAAGGCACCATCTTAGGCCCTCTGCTCTTCCTTCTCTACGTTAATGAGTTACCACTGTTACTTAGGTCGTCGACATTATTGTTTGCAGATGATGTAAAAATCTGGAGAACAATAAAAAGTGCGGCTGATCATGTGGATCTTCAAGCTGATTTAGACGATTTAGTTAGATGGGCTCGAGAGTGGGGCTTAGAAATCAATGCTAGGAAGAGTGTACTAATGCACGTCGGTCACGGTAATAGTTACCGTTACACTATTGAGGGTAAACCTCTTCCATGCGTTCAAGAGCATAAGGACTTAGGAGTAATATTAAGTCATGACTTAAAAACAACTGCGCATTGCAAAGCAGCCGCTGTCAAAGGTTTTCGTGCGTTATGGTCACTTCGCCGAGCGTTCAAATCTTTTGACGAGGAAACGTTTCGAATTTTATACCCCATATATGTTAGACCACATTTAGAGTACTGTATCCAAGCAGCTAGCCCGTGTCTAGTAAAGGATACTAACTCCCTTGAGCGTGTCCAGCGTGTGGGAACGAAATTAGTGAAGGGTCTTTCTAGTCTCCCTTACGATGAGCGCTTAAAACGCCTAAATCTTTTCCCCTTGTCGTATCGTAGGACACGAGGTGACCTTATACTGGCATTTCGTATCTTTAATTATGATTTGGGTGTTAATATGTCTTATCTTTTTGCTCCCTCCAGCACTAATAATCTCCGAGGTCATAGCAAGAAGGTTCATAAACCACGATCTAATAAACTTAAAGTGGGATCCCGTTTTTCTCATCGAGTAGTCAATCATTGGAACGCCTTACCCGAACAAGTGGTATCAGCCCCATCAGTGAATACTTTCAAGGAAAAGCTGGACCTTCACTGGAAAGCAATGTGTCAGGATTAACACAGGTTCATCAACCTACTATCCTTATTACTGAAGACTGAAGACTGAAGACTGAAGACGTGGCCTGTACGCGAGAACATATAGTTTGGCTTATTCTTCATATCTTTCATTATATGACAGCCCTCCAGGTTAAGAGATGTGAACCGTAACTTTTTGAATGAATATATAGATAGGGAATGTGAGTGAACAATCTTTGGAGTTTACTTGTGTAGCTTACATAATTTTGAGAGAAATACCATAAAAATGATGTCTAGCCCTTAGACAAGGCTTTATGAACATTGAGGTCCGGCTGAGCTGCCTGAGTTTGACCTGGTTAGTGATTACTCATATTTGAAGTCATCCTAAAAAGAGAAGTTAAGACAAGAGGCGATGAATGCACCAAACTTGGTTAAAAATGATTCGAAGCTAAGTCTACTTGATGTTTTAAAAATTCCTGGCATGTTGACCTGTGACTGGTGAGGTTCACAATGGAAGCGAGAAGAGCATGAATCGTAGAACAAGGGAATGCACGAATTATTTTCTATGATGGATGGTGTATTCATGCTTGAGAACAACATCTGATACGTTATAGATATGTCTCAATGAATATCAAGTTTTTTCTTTTTAATGTTTGGAAGGTTTGTGGTTTTGTCATCAGAGGACGTTAGTTGAACTGCGGGTCATTAGATTCTTGCGGTACTCAGTGACATGATTTCAGACCTATGGCTGCTGGCTTTACTTGCACTCAGCGTTAATGCCATATATGAAGATCAGGTTAACGTTCTAGATTGGTATGTCTTATTAGTTTACTGATGCTCTTTTTAAGGAATCAAAAGTTCGTGGGGAAAGTAAAGTATTCAAAATTAAAGTTTGATGGGACTACCCCTAAAAACTATTTTGTGGGTTCTGAACTCAACGTTATTAGCTCTATTAATTTGAAGGATGGGTCAATTGGTATGCTTTGGGGTTGTATATTTGCTTGTAGTTTGGCGACAGGTACTTGACGAGGACGGTGAATTAACTGGATTTGAATTGTGTGGCAATAGTAAGTCTTTAAAAATATGCGTACATACATTTAGAGTTGTTTTCTCTTTCCTCCAAGCATGGGACTAAGCTGCGTGCTTGGGACATTAAGTTTGGTGGTGTTTTATGGGAGATTTTAATAGATTCTTCTGAATCATCCAGGTAATATAAATACTTGTTGCTTATGCTTGTCAACAGTGGAGACATTTGGTGTGACGAAAACTCGGGAATTTTGGTTGTTGCTTACGATAAAGGAGTGGATACCTATCGTCTTCAAACAGGTGAAAAGCTTCTGTCTGATAGAAATATGTAAGTATTATATCCATAAGCGTCGCTCTTAAATATTCTCTTACAACCACTTTTTGTAAATACTTTTTTCTAAGTTAACATTAAAGCAAGTAAAATAAAAAGTCACATCTTCAAACTTAGCGAACCCAATAAAATGCGACCGATAATTTCTGGGTTTTTCAGGATGATATTAAGTTTAATGAACTACATATGTACTCGTTGTTTTTCAAAACCATATCGTTCTGCTTTAGTGGGTAGTTAAATCAGATGAGTTTAATGACTTTAGGAGTTGATTCCTTGAAGTGATGCAAATATGTAGCAGTTTGAGTTTAGCTTGATGGTATATCATTTAATAGTGGGAGCATAAATAGTAACGTGTGAATAAATCTGCTGAAGAGAACACGAGAAGATAACATTTCGGTGAGCACATTCAATACACTTACACTCAAAAATGTCAGCAATTAACAGTGGAAAATAGATCAAAATAGTGCTACGATCGGAAAATTAGCAGTTAGTAGAGCAAGATTTTGAGTGCGTTACACTACATGACTCCACAACGGTTCGCTAACATACTGTACATCCGACTTGACTAGTGTGATAACAGCTTGGCATGTGTTTGTTGGACTAAATTTGACCACTTCGTTTTAAATAAGCAGTTATTGACGGAGAGGAGACTTATGAAACATGAAAATTTTATTTGGATAAACTCTGTGGATGTTTAGACGGAAACTAAGAATGTGTTGACTCCAAAAATCAAGATAACATTATGTACCAAAGATATGCTTTTGTAGCGATGGCGTTTCTTAAGTGTCATTGAATTTCGTTTTCTATCGCAGCATATGGATTAGCTGCGAGAATTCTTATCTCGTTTCAGGAACAAGTTCTTCCTTGTAACTATTCAGTCCTACCGTAACATTATTTGCCCTAAGTAAGTCGAGAATCTAAAATCTCAGAATAGCCCTTAGGAGCATGGTTTCAATGAGCAATGGTTAGCGAAACGTTCGAAGCTTGTCACTGTCCATATTCTACATTCTTTGCTTGGTATTCCAGCCCATTGATAACACCTATGTCGGTATCCCGGTTAATTTTAATTGCATTCAAATGTCGACAAGAAACCTTAAAATATGTCGGTTTCTATCCAGACTTCTCACATGGACCTACAATCATACTATTTGTCTTATGACAAGAATAGGAAGGTTGTAAGTAGAGCCATTTCTTTGGTGCTTTCACTGAATGCATTTGCCAAACGTTTAAGTGATGTTTCTGCGCACACTAAAACTAAGTTATCTTATCACAACCACTTCCGCTGTTTATATTTGTTTTGTTTCATCCCATCTAAATGTTATCAACTTTCCTTTTCCATATGGTAGCGTTCGAGAGGAATCTTAAGCAGATCTGTGCATTCTTAGGCCAATTGCCCGAGTTAAGTTTATTTTCATGGAAAAGCGTCATAACCCTGCTTTCACTTTTATACGTTTGTTAATATTTTGGTTAATTGATTATTACTTTCCTGTGATACCTTTCTTGAGTTTGTACCATTGGTTTTTGGAACATTTGTAGGAATTCAAGTTCTCCTATTCAAATAAATATAGTTTCTGGGAAAACTGAATCCAGTTCGACAATCTCACTAGTCGAAAAATATCTGGATAAGAGTGATCATCTGGATATGATACACCTGAATTATCTTATATAATTATCAGAACATATCCAATTTCAAGTTCTGGATTGCAATTAACCCCTATGGTCATAAAGAACCATACGATTCAGTCGTCTGTTTATAACCAACACTCGTAAGTGAATTTTGCTGCAGTAACCTTGCCTTTATGTAAAAAAAATAAAATTAAGTTTGCTGTTCTGAGGCAACAGTTATTTAGCTTTTCTCCACCCAAGAAAATTTTCCACTTGATTCTTCAGTTTACGCGATTTGTTTCTTCTCATTTGGTGAGATTTCCAACGCAGTTGTGCATATCACCATTATAATACGATTAACGTATCCATCAATTATATTAGGTTGAGTATTGAAAGGTGTTATTATTTATTTGATGTGCTAAAGGATCGTAAATCCATACGATCTCGATCCTCAACTGTATCGCTGATAAGTCATTTACTGAATCTTGAGTAATTTAACGAAAGGTGGACAAGCAATCAGAGTTGGTTAGAACCTGGTGGTTTGTGAACCGTTCTTAGACTCAAATACAACTAGAAATCTTGTAACACGCTCACTTGTCCACATTGTTCGTTAGCTTAGTAACTTTCAGGTTATAGTCATCAACATCTTCCCCAGGGACTAACGAGTTTGAAAACTGACAAGCCTAGTGACATTAAAGTAATTGAGTAGATATTGTTGCTCCAATCTCCGTTCTGTTAGTTAGTCTTAGTCAACATGGGATTTGGTGATTGTCATGTCACATCAGCACAGCCAGATGAAATTGACAAGGTGAATGGCAAAGTAATGAACATAAAAGTTATTAGTGAAAGTGAAATACAGAATAAATAATGGGGTTCAAAGCGAATTAATCAGTTTTTAGAATTAAACGTTCTAAATAATCTTGGAGCTTAAAATCCAAGGGGGTGAATAGTGAATACATTTGGATCATTAGTCATTTTCGAACTATCGCACCTTACATTCCCAATCACTAATCGCGGTTACCTGACTAACCGTAACCATAAAGTCTGCGCTTACCAACGCTGGTCAGTCCAACGATGACTTCATGAAGTGATGTGGCGTCTTGGTTTGTCCATCTTCAGCTTTCTTAAAGTCCGCCACTTCTGGTTCAACTAGCACTTTTTGTCAAGATAGGCGTTGGTTGGGGATGCGCAGCATATGTCACAGACTTTAGCCGATGAAGATGCACATCCTAACCAGCCTGTTTGTTATGTCCTATGGTCTGTCCGATATCACTTGACAAAATCGCCAGTCAGAATACCGACTTCTATGACATTGTCCCTGTGCTAAAACAATAATGCATCAAACAATTCTAGCAGTCTTGAGTCAACGCTCAGCCCTTAATGCTCCTCTGCGTAGCAACTTCTCGCCTAGTTCAACCTGTTCAGTTCAGATCACAAATATCAGCCTCCGCTGTCGGAATCGTGTATTTCAGACATACTTGGTTTATATACAAGTAGACTAGACCGCATCAAATCATAAAGTCGAAAATAATTATTGTACGAGATCAAGCCAAAAGTGGCTGTGAGTGTGGGATACTATAACTAATAAATTGTGGATAAGTTAAGAATAGTAAATCGTATTGCAGTAGCTAACAGATCAAATGAAGGCTTATGATAAAAGGTATATATATATATATATATATATATATATATATATATATACGACTATACTCTTGCTTCCGACTTCACTATTGTTCACTCTGCTGTTCCACCATACACGAAAAATGCTTCAAAAGCATTTGTAGTCAAATACCAGTAATTTGGGAATGTCCTATACTTTCAGTTGTCACATATTATAGCCATGGAGTTAAACAGAGCGGACCACTGTGCACTAGACTGAACATTTGAAGGGTAAATGTGTGCCTTATTTACACAACGAATGGCAAAAGTTCTCGAAAGCCAACTGGAATTTTGTTAACTATAAGCTTCCGATGCTGACAACATTTCCAGATGTAGTCGATGCGTTCAGCTATCTCACTCACAGTGGTAAAATCAGACAATAACTTAGACCAGTCGTTCAACAACATTTCACATTTAGAAACACATTCCACGTATTTTTACACTGCTATTTAGTCTTTCGAAGATTGGACTATGTCAATGTCTTTTACCAGACAGAGCCATGTCATTTATATATACTCTAGGCCCATGAGTAAATTTATATGTAAATCAATTACTGAAAAGTTAGACGAGAAACGCATCATTTCTAATAGAATGTCTATGGCGAAAATAAATTCCACATGCTCGATGTTTTTTAAAGTCTAAGACTAGAATAAGTTCTGTTCCAGTGTACTAGTTCAATTCGCAGTTTTTCTTCTGGCATCTCGTACACATTTCATTAACTTATTTATAAAAAGCGTGAAATAGTAAGAATTCTCGTCTTGATAATCCAAACCGCATTTAACACAACAAAATGCGCTTCTCACAATGTAATTTGTATATTTAAAAAATGACAATTTCGATTATATTCACAACCATCCTAACCTTCTAGGTGCAATATATTCGGGTTACATAACATACCAACTGATGCCGTTGTTGTGTGTTTATCGTCGGGGCGTGGTAGACAGGGAAGCGTGCTTAGATTTTCATCTGTTTCATCGTCGAATTGGGACGTTATCACAGTGAAAAGCGTAAGCTGATTTTTTTGTATTTTGACGGAGTAAATTTTCTCGTATACAAATAACTGGATTTATATATGATAATCCCTGAGTAGTGTAGTTTCATTGTTAGCTTTTATGTTCTGTTTGCCTGTGATGAAGTAGATACAAGAACGATTTTCCGTTACTTGTACTTAAAGATTGATTTTACTACTAGGTAATACTAAGTAAACTCAAGATTTGTACTGATCAATTTGTACTATACTATCCTCATCGTTTTTACGTTTTTGGTTTCTTTTGTGTAGATCGGTCGAAACGGCCCAGCTACATCCGATTTTTATTTACCTATAACTTTAGGGTTTCATGTTATTACGTACTTTTTGGATCTGCATATCACTCATTTCTCTTGAACTATCTCTTTCTCGTCTACTTTCCACCTTGAGAATTTCATCTCTTTATCTGTTCATATGTAGTGTGACAACTTGAAATGACGCATACTCATGTCATATTCTGCTTTATCGTAAGTTTACTATCGTAGATATCAGTCAATCATGATCAACATGGAGCCTGGCACAAATGTTCTTTAGCCTTTTTCATTATCGTATGAAGACGACATGAAGATTGGCATTAGTTCAAATCAGTGATAGTGAGGGAGTATAGACACGAAAGGATACTGATTTAAAAGAAAAGATGAAATCGAGGACTAAAAGTAATGGTAAAGAGTAAATGCATCTTTATCACTATGATCGATTTTAATTCACGTCACCCAACGTTTCCGACTACTAATCGTGGTTATATCACGGACCCTAACTAGGTAGTTTTTACTTACTAAAACGACTCAGTCAAACAATGACCCTATATACTGATACAATGTCTTGGTTTCGGCGTCACAATTTTTTTCTAAACTGCTACTTCAACCGACATTGCTTGCCGAGGTGGATGATGATTAGCATATGTAACATATATCCCGGCCACCTCAGTCGATAATAGGTCAATAATTTAATCAAATGATTACTATCTTTTCCCGTTACCATAAGCATAACCTCAGTATTGGTTACTTAGTTATATTGTACCATACATGAGGAATCCTTCAATGACAATTATTATCAAAAATCTGCAGCCTACGCATATCTTCTATTTTCATAGACCATGTTTCACACCCGTAGAGTGATATGAAGCGGATTGCTGTACAGTACACTCAGTCCTTACTAAGCAGATGGATAGCAAAAAGAATCCCAACTTTTGGTAATACTAGACTGTTATTATTCGTCATAACTTTACTCTTTATGATAGCATGCAACTGATTTCTCAAATTTTTAGTCTCAATTTGGATTTGCAGATGTTAATTTGTATGTCATTATAGTGTGGTGTCAAAACGTATATCTAGTTATTTATCGGCGTTTTTCACGTTTTGTGTCTTTTTGATGCTTCAGACCTTTGAAAATATGGTTAAGCTGACAGACAATGATTTTCTGTTAACCTCTTCATCGTTGGAGCCTACCACTGGGGCCGTATATCATTTAGATCCCTCTGGTATTCCAGTTGTAAAATACTTTGTCAATAACGTGAGTACAGTCAGTGTCAGTTTTTCAATTATTAATTTTTATTATCCCCAAATTACTACGATATTTCCTTTTTTCTAACTTTTAATACACGCCTGTGACGTATTAAGTTATCACTAATATAGTGCATAATGTTTATAACTTAGAACGAAAGTATTTCGTTAGTATTGGGGTATTTTTTCTAAATGGTTTACTTGTAAAGTCTTCGATTCTTTCTCAATAACTTTTCCAGTAAAAATTTTAAAGAGAATTGAAATTTTGGAATTTATTACCAATTAGTTAATAATCTTTTGTCGATAAGAGAGATATGATTAGCTGATGTAGGAATGGTTTAAAAATAGATATAGAGATGTATCAGGTTATAATATCAGTCTTTGACTGTTAACATAAATTGTTTAGGGAGGTTTTTTAAATACTTCTTGGTTTCGTTTCACAATAATGGACTCACTTTTGAAAATGACTTGACCTACTATCTTCCATCTAGTTCTAGACATTTATTTACCTCATACTTTTACTCTTTCAACTGTTTTTATCTTTTTTTCCTTGATGATGAAGAATTATGTAACAATGCGATGAAATTTAAACAGAAAGAGTATAGAAGAAAGTAAAAATAAGTCTATTGAGGGAAAGTAAGAGGTTAATAAAGAAGGAGACAAGTAAGAGTATTAGGATGGCTTTTGAAAAACTAGGGATTATGATCATTTTAGAATAAGAGGTCGAATAAATTTATTGTGTATACATAGTTCTGGACTTTTCCAGTTTATAGTAAATGCTTCAGCAGTGCTACGAAGACAAAAGCTCACTTCTATGTTAGGCTTTGCTTTGGTTTGGGTACCCGGGCATCAAAAATGACATTTTACTTGTACAGTCAGTCAGTCAGTAACAACGTAGAACTTCGTACGTACGTACATCAGTTTGAGTTGCCACACCACATTAGCACAGAGATGCAGTGGTCGATTCAAATCCCGTAGTGCTAGATGTAATAAAATTATAAGCTGTAATCAGAAAAATTAGGGCCTGGAAATGTTATTCAAGGAGTATAATACAGTGAAATAAATTTGGGAAGAAAAAAAAGAAAGGGATATGAAGAATTCAGAAGATTAGAATTCGAGAGAACACAAAGAGTGTATGCACCTGCGCCATTGCAAACGATTTTGAGCCATGTCATTCAGGCTCTCTAACCATCGGTTACTATCATCTCGCGGTCCCCAACCAGGTAGTCTACACCTACCAACATGACTCAGTCCACTTGTCAGTGACTTTATGGACTTGTGCTATGTTTTGGTCTGGCCACCCCTAGCTTTCTTCCAACCTACTCCTATACCACTGAACATCGCACGTCGAGGCAGTCGGTCGTTGGGCATACGTAACACGTGTCCAAGCCAACTCAAATGATGAAGTTTCACTACGTCATCAATTGATTTGCCATCCTTACCTAGTACCTGTTTCCTAACAACTGTGTTACTTACTCGATGGTCCCAGGATATACGAGCAATGTTTCGAAGACACCTATGATCAAATACTAGTAGCCTACGGATATCCTCTACTCTTACCGGCCATGTTTCACTGCCATAAAGTAGGACGGAACGAACTGCTGTGCAGTAAACCCGTCCTTTGGTTGGTAGACGGATATCTCGCCTACTCCATAAATGACGCAAGTTGGTAAAAGCTAGTCGAGCCTTCTGTATCCGTGCTGAGATTTCGTCACACACTAAACCACAAGGTCTGATGAGACTTCCAAGACAAGTGAAGCGGTCGACACACTCAACTACTTCACTCCCTATCACTAGTTCGGGTGTCGATGTAACCCAATCCTGAAGCAACATTTTGCATTTCGAGGGAGAGAATCGCATCCCGAACATGCTTGCATTGTTGCTTAGAGTGGTCAGAAGACTGCATTTTGTCAGCGTCTTCACCAAATAAAACTATGTTATCAGCATATTCTAAGTCAACAAATGAACCTCCCGGTAGAAGTTCAACCACTGGAAATCTAGACGAGGAAAGTGTTATCTCTAAAAGTATGTCAACGACAAAGTTGGACAAGAATGGGGAGAGTGGACAGCCCTGACGAACACCAATCAATCTGATGACAGTTCGCCATAAGCTCTCATTCTACCAGTTGTGTTCGAGTAGAGAGCCTTTATAAGGTTAGTGTTCTTAGAATTCTTATCATACTGTTTTTTATGAAATTTCCCCGGAGTACTTTCGTATTACAAGCTTCAGTAATTGTCAGCACTTTGTTTATCTTACACTTTATCATGACTTCAGGTTGGTTGATATCTAGAGAAACGATTCACCAATAATAGTCCTGTAATATTTTTCTACCCCACATATATTATACTACTTCGTTTTTACTGGCAAGGTTAACCTTTAGTTGAAACCAAGAACAATCATAACCCCCAGTGGTCCTGAACGTATTTTCTGTTAGCCGTTTACAGTCCCATGACAGAACACTGCAACCAGTGGTACAGTTGTATATTTTGTGTAAATGAACTCATACAATAATATGGATCAAATTTACGGATCTCAAATCAACATGACCATGCAATGGCATAGTAGGTATGACTACACCAAAAATGGAAGGCAACTCCGGGAAAAAAGTGAATGATTAATTAGTTATAATTAAGGACTAATAAAACGTATACGGCAGTAGTTATCAAGTCCATTGGAATCTTACAATATGGAGGATATGTAAACGTAATAATTCAGTCTTCTAATAATTATACAGTATAAATATAAATAAAAATAGTAACACATAAAATAGTCTTAGAAGTTCCAATGTCTTCTATACTCTCTCCGTCATAACAGATACAGCTTCATTTCTTTGATAAGAATAAATGCACCTGGTTAGTTTATTATTACTATTACTGTTATTATTATTGTTATTGAGATTCGCAGCTCAGGTGCATGATTTAGGTGTTTTTGTTCTCTGAGCTGGATGGTTTGGTCGTGTAGCTTTCATTGTTCTTCTGAATAACATCATCAGTACAAACTTCAGGTAGAATTGAAGTGTTCGAATTTCTCCACATATTACTCACAGCTTGTCCTGTCGACAAGATGATGATGTCCAATAAAACAATGAAAGCTCCATGAACAAACCATCCAACGCAAAGAATGAACACCTAAATTATTGCTGCTACTATTATTATTATTATTTCGATAATGATATTAGAAGAAGAAGATTATCAGAACTATGTGATATATTAGCGCAATACATTTCGAACAATCTGGTCACACATATACTTGTTAAGAGCATTTATATATATAAAAAATAAAATGTCAACTAGACAGGAAACGGGTAAAAGGAGATAAGGATAATAATAATAATAATAATAATGTGAACACAAAACGAAACCTAATCATATTATTATCCTTATCTCCTCTTACCCCGTTTCCTGTCTAGTTGACATTTTATTTTTTATATATATAAATGCTCTTAACAAGTATATGTGTGACCAGATTGTTCGAAATGTATTGCGCTAATATATCACATAGTTCTGATAATCTTCTTCTTCTAATATCATTATCGAAATTTATCAAAGGAACTAATTGTTTTAAATTATTATTATTATTATTATTATTATAGGCTATGATTGGATGTTTGGGAACGCTAAATGGTCGATCGTATTTATTTACACTTCATCACAATTCAAGTCAGGTAATGATATCATTTTTCATCTTACATTAACTTAAATTATTGCAGTTTCTTCTACGACTACCTAACACTACCTGCTCAAAATAAGCTAAAATGTTTTGAATATTCATAGCTTTCATTGTAGGACTTTTATTTGATTGTTTATATAGTTGGTGTTATCTGGATGCATTTATAGCGTTCCATTTCTGCATCGAATAAACTAACTGATAGTATCTTGGATATTTATACCTATTGCCATAATCACACTGGTGTGACAATACTTAAAATCATTGCTAGATAAGGTTCACCGAAAGATGTCTGTGACATATATGTTTAGTATAATAAGTTTATCATTCACTATAGGTGGTGTTGACGGTAATAACTCGGATGTCTTCACTTAGTCCGCCGTTAATAAAGAAGTGTACGGTCAACAATCTTCTATACAACTTATCTGTCCTATTATACTAACATGATGACTGAGTGTTCCAAGGAATTGGTTTATAACAGTTAGTTCATCGATTCATGGCCTCCTCAGCTGTTATACTCTGTGCAAATAATTAGTTTCATTGGTCCATAGATGACTTTTGTTGATTTGTACTTTGTTATTGACTTGAGATTAATTTAATGTTACATCTTCAAAATGTTATCTACAGTCTTGTGCAACTGATTGTGTGCGTGAAAATTTTCACAGTCTTCAGTGTTGCAAGACCTAGGACTTTCACATTAGATATATGTTGAGTTCTAAACGTAAGCACTTGGATTTTATAAAATCTGTTTGGCTTATCTTAGTAACTTTTCGATGATGTGTCAAATGAATTTGCCAAAATATAATGACTAGTACTCATGGTTGTTTGCGTGGAAAAGTCAACCATCTAGGAAACAGAAAAATCACAGAGTATCATGTGATCTAAATCAAATTATTCTTCCCGATCTGATTGTGAAATTAATGAGATATACTTACGTCTACGTCATACTCCTAATTTGAAGATGAGATGCGGATAATTTGAATATAAACAGGGTAGGTTCCTATAGATTAGCCAATTCTGCTTCAAACAACTAAGCGTAATAATGCAGTCATTGATTATGAGACGGTAGCTTGATGATTAGGACGTTGGGCTTTCAGTTACTAAGTCCAAAGTTCAATCGTCGCTCTATTTATTTCGGAATGAGCAACTGAGTAGTATTAACTCTCACACTCAGATTGTAGCTCATACACTTAAGTACCTGGTGGATGAGTGAATTATCTATACATGTTTATAATATATGAGGACTTCGACGCGGTCTCTTACCAATAAGCTAAACAGTTCACTTGGAAAATCATTTTTGATACTTAACAGTGATCACCATTAGTTGGAAACATTAAGCGATGAGTGTCTTTTCTTGTTATCCTAAGGGTAAATACAAGTATCTCCACCGCTTTATTTTACTTAACTCATCTGCATCAAACCCTGTCTAAATTTTTAGGATCTTTGTTTTTTTACTAGTAATTTTAATTAATACTTTTTCCATTATTTATCGTTTTGATAGGATTTTAAGAATCTGGCTCTGAACATCTATGATTTAGAATCTGGTGAATTATCCAAAGAACTACCACCTCGTCATTTCACTCTCGCTGGCCATCATGGTACAATTGAATCAGTGGGTTCACCAGTTTTAGATAGATTTTGTTTATAGTTTTACTCTAAGTAACTACTGCGAAGATAATCGGTATCTTTGTATGTAGATCTCATTCTTAGTTAAATAGTATCGGTTCACCCGACCGTTGTTGCTGCCTTGACGTGGTGGTCGGGCTTGCCTATCGTGATGAAGCAACCGAGCTATACTGGCTGGAACAACCGTTCCTCAAGGTCCTACCATGTCAGACAGGTCGGTTGAAGAGCGGTAAGACTAAAAGCAACAAACCCAAGGTCCGAAGGCGAAGTCGTACTGCTGACTGTACAGAGGTGTGACAGCAGTAAGGTGTTTCCTTCAGACAACCAGCATGACAGCGATGCTGCCTTCCCACAAGGAGGGGTGGGGTTAGAAAAGGTCGACCCTAAAAATGCACACCTCGCCTTATCCCACGGATATCCGTCTCCGGCGGTAAGGTCTCAATAAGTACGGAGCTAACACAAAAATTACCCATAAAAGGTCGTGTGTGACCGACCTCAAGCAGTTGTCCCTTGGGCACTGCGGTCACGCTCTCAGGTCACTAAGACCACCTCTAATCCAATTTCCTTTTCAGGTACCTCCAGAAAAACCCTTCCACGGTGTGGGCAACCGGGAAGTGATAACCGCCCTCATACCTCTAACAGCACTCAAGACCACTGTATTCATAATCAACCTCCTCTTCAATTCCTATTATTCCTCCTACATCGACTTTCAACTCCAAATTTCCTCTTCGGCTTCCACCTCAAGTGTCACCATAGCCAACGATTCTAGTGCTCAAAACACTGTCCCAGGTCTACTGAAACCTCGCTCCAAACTACACATTGGAGCCTTCAACGTACGCACCCTATGTCAAATCGGTCAGCAGGCTTCCTTGGCTAAAACCCTAGAGTCTCTTTCCATTGATGTATGCTGTGTCTCCGAAACACGCATACAGGATTCCAGTGTGGTCATTCACTTGACCTCACCTCGGCAAACGGAGAGCCAACGAGATACACCCTTCGTGTATCTGGTGACCCGATGGCCAGTTCTCGTGGACTGGCAGGTGTAGGCATAGCACTAAGCATGAGGGCCGAACAAGCACTGCTAGAGTGGATCCCCGTCAACAGTCGTCTATGTGCTGTTCGGCTGAACGGCTACGTAAGAACTCGGAAGGATAGGGACACACGTCGTTGCCTTTTTGTCGTTTCTGCCTACGCTCCCACTGACTGCAGCTCAGATGAAGTGAAAGATGAATTTTACAGAAAGCTGTCCGAACTTCTTCAGAAAGCTAAACGCTCAGACATAGTACTCGTAGCAGGTGATTTTAATGCTCAGATAGGTAGTTTAAACCAAACAGAAAGGCATTTAGGTGGATATTTTAGTATTCCGACACAGCGAACAGATAATGGTGATCGTCTGCTGCAGCTATGCTCAGACAATCGTTTATTTTTAGCAAACACAAATTTTAAGCATAAGGAGAGACATCGTCTAACATGGCGACCCCCTACACCAAACCAACGATGGACTCAAATAGACCATATTGCCATCAGTCATCGTTGGAGAGGGTCGGTAGAAGATTGTCGCTCATTCTGGAGTACCTGCTTGGACTCCGACCATGCCCTAATACGGGCACGCATCTGCTTGCGCCTCACTGGACGCAAAAAAGCCACATTAAAAAGACCCATTAGAACTGAGTTGAGTAACGAGAAAACCAAAAGTAGGTTCCAGGAACAACTGAGGTCACACTTAGGTAGTTGTGAAGACGAGGCTGACCCAGATGTTGCTTGGAAAGATATACAAACAGCTGTGGAAACAGCAGTGACATCTATTAGTGACTTAAACCACAGAGTTACAAAGAACCAGTGGATTTCTTCAAGGTCTATTGCACTGATGGATTCTCGCAAACTCGTCCCATCAGGTTCTGAACATGATGAAGAGCGTAAACAAATCAGATCTAGGTTAAGAAAAAGTCTAAGGAACGACCGTGAGCAGTGGTGGGCAACGAAAGCAAAAGAGATGGAAAAGGCGGCGACTATAGGGAACACAAGACAGCTTTACAGACTAATAAAAGAAACTGGAATTAATAAGTCAAGTGTAAGTGAGATTATTTCGGAAAAATGCGATACTCTCATCTGCTCCCAGTCCAGACGTTTAGAACGATGGGCGGAACATTTCAGAGAACAGTTCAGCTGGCCTTCAGCTACTCTACAACTACCCTCCATTCCCAGACAATGTGAATGGAACATTGAAGTAGGTCCCCCAACTCTTGCTGAAGTTCAAAAGGCTATAGTTAATCTGAAACGAGGAAGGGCAGCTGGTCCAGATGGATTGGCTCCAGAAGTCTTTAAGGATGGTGGTCCAATTTTAGCGATTAGGTTGACTAATATTTTAGCTAAGATCTGGGAGTTAGACGTTATCCCATCTGACTGGTCGCAATCACTTATCGTCCCAATATATAAGAAAGGGTCAAAATCATCCTGTGACAACCACAGAGGGATTAGTTTAACAAATATAGTATCTAAAATACTAGCCTCGATAATTATCAGACGCCTAACTAAGACTCGTGAACTGCAAACACGAGAGAACCAAGCTGGCTTTAGACCTGGTCGTGGCTGCATCGACCACATATTCACCATTCGTCAGGTTCTAGAACACAGGCATACTTATCGGCGTCCGACAATGGTGGTCTTTCTTGACTTAAAAGCAGCATTTGACTCTGTAGACCGCGAGACTCTGTGGCAGTGTCTGTCATTGAAAGGCGTACCTCAGAAGTACATAAACCTTGTGAAGGCTCTTTACTCGAACACTACTAGTCGAGTCAGGGCTTATGGCGAACTGTCATCTACTTTTGCAACCTCAAGTGGTGTCCGTCAAGGCTGTCCACTTTCTCCATTTTTGTTTAACTTCATCATAGACCTATTGATGGAAATAACATTCTCGTCGACTGAATTCTCGGGTATTGATCTCCTTCCAGGAGGTCCACTTATCGACTTAGAATACGCAGATGACATAGTCCTGTTTGGTGAAGACGCTGACAAAATGCAGAGTCTTCTGGTAGCACTAAGCAACAATGCCAGAATGTTTGGAATGCGCTTCTCTCCCTCTAAATGCAAGTTGTTGCTTCAGGACTGGTCTGCGTCAACACCTGAACTAAGGATAGGGAGTGAAGTAGTCGAACGCGTTGACAACTTCACTTATCTTGGAAGTCTGATCAGCCCTAATGGGTTGGTGTCTGACGAAATCTCAGCACGGATTCGAAAAGCTCGTTTGGCTTTTGCCAACTTACGTCACCTTTGGCGAAGGCGAGATATCCGTCTATCAATAAAAGGACGAGTATACTGCGCGGCAGTCCGTTCTGTTTTAATTTACGGCAGCGAAACATGGCCTTTAAGAGTAGAAGACACCCGTAAGCTACTAGTATTTGACCACAGATGCCTTAGAAATATTGCTGGCATCTGCTGGGATCACCGGGTAAGTAATAGTGAGGTTAGACGCAGGGTATTAGGGAATGATGGTAAATCAGTTGATGAGGTTATGAATCTTCATCGACTGAGATGGTTGGGCCACGTGTTACGTATGCCTGAACACCGATTACCACGACGTGCAATGCTAACCGGTGTTGGGGATGGTTGGAAGAAAGTTAGGGGCGGCCAAACCAAAACGTGGCATCAGTGCTTGAAGTCACTAACTTCTAGTCTGAGCCATGTTGGTAGATGCAGACTACTTGGTTGGGGTCCGCGTGACTTTCGTAACCAATGGTTGGAGACTCTTGGTGACATGGCTCAGAATCGATCACAATGGCGTCGGTGTATACACTCTCTGTCTTCTCTTAAACTAAGAGATTAAAATCACTTCATATCTTTCTTTCTACGAACTAATTCTTTCTTCCTGTACTATATCCTTATTGCAATCTTTCTTTTATATATTACCACCTTTGAATTAACCACTTATATGAATCCAGTGTCCATCTTGTTGTGTTAATGAGGTATGGCAACTTGGACCGATGCATATATGTGCCTGGTCCTACGTTGTAGCTGACTGACTGATTGAGTATCGGTTCATTCTTGCCTAGGTGTAATGGCTTAGAATCATTTGCGATGACGGAGCTACATTCACTCTTTGCCTTTTCCTATAACCTGAGTCCCGAAATTTCTTCACACCGTTTTTTCTATGCCTAATTTCTACTACTACTGATATTGTTACTTTAATTACTCTTGAATTTGTTATGATAATTTCATCTCACTGTGCTAATGTGTTATGACAATTTGAACTGATGAATGTATGTGCTAAGTTTTACGATGTATATAACTGATTATCGCTGTGTAATCCTATTCTAAATTGAAACAACAGTTCAGTGCTGTTTAGTTGCTCCATGATTGTTCAGCTAAAGTTATTCTTTGATATAAACTGTAAAAATTTATATGTCTTTACAAACCTTATGCACTGATAATCGTGTATATCAACGTTGTTTGCTATTAACGACTGTGAAGAGAAAAAAACAAGATCCTCTTATATATATTTGAACACATAAGCATCGATACAAGGGGGCACCAAATATATATGCGTCACACAATAACAGTCAGGCCAGTAGTAGTTATCATTGGTTTGTGTGAGGTCTGTGGTACTGTTCGGGTGTCCAGACCAAAGAATGTGGTTTTCTTAGGGGACCATACCCGGAGCCTTTGGCCTGAAGGTCTAATCCACTAGGCAGTGGAGCAACGTCAGGAAATGCAGTCCAATGGTGGCCGGTGACTAACAATAGGTTCATACGCCATTTGTTCCTTCAGGATCCTGGAGCCCATGTGCACCTTTGGTTTGAAATCAGGGTTCTCCAACTCCCCTAGGTAGACTCCCCATATCACCAACCCGGTTAAAGTGCCAGACATTCGCATTTCATCCTCTCAATCTCATAAACAACAGTAATGCCGCGAGAAGACTGAGTGAGACCTCCATGGCAGTGGCTGTATACGCGTGGCCATGTGAGAGCGGACTCTCCCCACCCTCGTCAGTACCAGGGCATTTGTGGGCATATAGATATCCTAACATTATTTGTTCTCTTAATTTATGAATAATGTATATTAACCTAATTTTGCTTTTCTTCATAGTTTTACCTGTTAAGTTCATTGATTTTGAAGTGTGTGATGTACAGTGTTTATTAGTCATTTTCTGGAAATCTGGTATTTTTGTTATGTTTATAGTTAGATTGTGTTTTAAATGTTGCATGAATAAGAATCCACTTTCAGCTGTTAAGTCGCACGTCAGAACTTCCCTCACTGCTTATTTCGGTTTAGATAGTCAGTTGATATCATTAACTCTCATTTAAAGTGTGACTTAAAGCTCAACACACGAATATGTATCTGTCAGTGAGATAATGATATTGATGACAATACTTTTTGAAATGGTTTGGATCATCCCGTTGTTGATATTTTGACTGAAATTTGGTCCGTCTTGATTGACATATGTGCATTCTGTGCGGGTTGCCTCGATATAGACATTATGATACAAGTTTATGCAGAGTCGATGGAACGTGGCTATCAGAGAAATCTAAGACACATGTTTCTCTTATTATAGTTGAATGTACCTGCATCCCAGAGTTAATGTTCACTCCAGGATGCGAACCTGTACACTCTGAACTCAAGAGCTAAGTTAATTATGCAATGGAATCTGAAGTGAACGGTACTGGGTCCTACTCCAGAGTTGGATACGCATCATAGATGTTACTACCAGCCACATTTGATCTATTTTAAATAAAAATATTGATAATAAAATGTGAACTGAGGGTAAATTCAACCCACTTACCTTCATTTTATCTATTCTGGCTGTGTTAGATAATTTCAATTATGATACAAACAGTTTCTCACTCGATTTATTGCAAGCTTCCTACGAATTATTGATTTTATGCTCAGTGAGTGACTTTAATTTTCCATTGTCCTCTAATAAGCCAACAAAATGCAAGCTTCTTACGTAAGCTGAGTAAAATTTTCTGCATGACGCTTTCCAGTGGATGCATGTATTCACTTTTATTATAGTTAGGTCTGTCAAACTATTTACATTTCTTTGATCATATAATTAGTCTGTACCGAAATCTTATGTTACGCTCAGTGTTTTATTTTTGATTTAATTCTAATTCATTCTTATGTATTTATCATCAATGAAAAGTTTGTCTACCAAATATTTGTATTATAGAAGTATTTTGTTGCTTAATTGTTTTTTGTTCGACAGATATCTGTTATCATGTTTACTGATGCTACTGGTGCTCCGAGTTTTCGATTATTACTACATACAGAAGATGATGCTGTACAACTAATCCGACAAAATGGTAATAGTTCATTTTTTGTAGTTCTTAAGCTTAACATCATTACATTAATGACTTCTCGTTTTTCGTATTAAGAATGGATTCAGCAATATGTGCTAACTCTTTAGTGTTAGACCGCTAGTTTGTTTCCTCTTCTCTATATGTTTTAAGAATCTATGGATTTCTCTTCAGTCTTAATAATTCTTTCCTCACTGCTTAATTTTACAATAATTATCTGGTGAATTGTTCACACTTTCTCATTAACTATCCTTATGAGAAAGTGTGAACAATTCACCAGATAATTATTGTAAACTATCCTTATGGGCACAACTCCATGAAGTCACTGACAAGTGGACTGAGTCATGTTGGTAGGTGTAGACTACCTGGTTGGGGACCGCGAGATGATAGTAACCGATGGTTAGAGAGCCTGAATGACATGGCTCAAAATCGTTTGCAATGGCGCAGGTGCATACACTCTTTGTGTTCTCTCGAATTCTAATCTTCTGAATTCTTCATGTCCCTTTCTTTTTTTCTTCCCAAATTTATTTCACTGTATTATACTCCTTGAATAACATTTCCAGGCCCTAATTTTTCTGATTACAGCTTATAATTTTATTACATCTAGCACTACGGGATTTGAATCGACCACTGCATCTCTGTGCTAATGTGGTGTGGCAACTCAAACTGATGTACGTACGTACGAAGTTCTACGTTGTTACTGATTGACTGAACTATCTTTATGAAAATAGGTCATATCTGAAGGTTTCGGATAATAAAATTACTCTATTTTCAAGACACTTGTGCTCACTTGTTGGAATTTGTTATATTCAATTGTCTTACCTAATAATTATTGCATTATACACAATGGAATCACGCATACACAATGCTTTCATCAACGTAGGAGGTCGACGGTCATTCTAGTGTTTCTTAAATATCTATCGAGTTCTCAAGTTTCATAAAAAATTGTAGATTGACCCTGTTTATTAAAACAATGTAATGGATACCTTGTTTTTATATGATGAGAAAATAGGTTTCTTGTATTGTTGTTTGGGTCCGTGAAATCAGACCGTAATTACAGGAGAGAAATTGTGTTGATCTAGATCGAGCATGAATTTATTCATCTAGACTATCGGGTACCAATAACACGATAGTAATTTGGTTACAACTGAGGGTAAAATACGACGACAATTAGTCCAGAATGCAGTTTTGCCACCCTTGTTCGCTTAATAGCCAAGATAGAACACAACAAGGCAGTGAGGAAACTTTAAACTCCGCAGTTCAGATTTATGACTCACTCATATAATATTAACAAGTAAAATTTTGACCACACAACAACATTATTAGAAGATTACAATATCAGCATAATCACACCATAAGTGGAAGAGAAATGAGTGATAGGTCCATCATCAAATTGACAGTAATTTAATGAAAGTATAAGATCTAACAACAGCTTATGCATCACGAAAAAGCTTATAGGCAAGATATTTAAAGTATTTCATAAATGTGCCGAACACTAAGCTTTTGATATAACTCTCAATATTTTTATATGGTTTCATCAAGGGTATTGTTGACAATATGTTGTCTGTAATTTTTTAAACAGCAGCTCCAATGTTTTGTTTTTTTAGGTAAACAACAATGGATTCGTGAAGAGGCGTTAGCAAACATAGTTGCTGTTGAAGTAATCGATTTGCCTGTTTCAGAGTTTCAAGCGAAAATTGAAGAAGAGTTTAATCATGCAAGCAGTAAGTTAACTTGTTTCTACCAGTCAGTAGACTATATGAACAGGCTATTTGACTTGTTTTCCTTCTTTTTATCTCCCATATTTTTTTCTTTTTTTAAAAGTATACCACTGAAAGACTATGCTATACTACTATAACCACCGGAACAAACCTATTGAGATCATGAACCGATTGGTGTTAGACCACAGTTGGAAACCTGGAAGCACTGGACAACCGTTTCGTCCTATTTTGGGACTCCCCAGCAGTGCGCACCCATGATCCCGCTCTCGGGATTCGAACCCACGACATTCAGTCTCGCACGCGAACGCTTAATCTACTGGACCACTGAGCCGGCATCCAATGGTGTTTGTGTCTAACATCAACCAATCCACGAAATCGCGCGACCATCTTCCTATTGCGCGATTAAACAAAATAAACATGTCCAATTAAGAAAATGTTTCAACAACCCAACTTTAGGCTACCTCAGTATAGCCGAAAATATTAGATACTGCACATTTACTGCAAATTAAAAAGCGTATAGATAGTCTCTAATGGCAGTTGAATTGTTAAACTCTTTCTTCAGCAAAACGCAGATTAGTTGAAAGTACAAGACGATACAACTTGTCCGAATAAGAAATCTATTAATGTAATAAGTTCACTAACAGTCCCTAAATTTAAAGATTGGACTTTTGACCATGTTATTTTGTTTCGTACTTTTTTAATCTCATGAATCAAAAACACATGGAAAAAATATACGAAAAAATTATACATCATCGCGATCATATAACATGTAACTAATTAGTTATGGACAATGTTTGGAATTCATCTAATATTAGTATCGGAGGAAGTGTATAAATTGTAGTATTTTTAATAGTTTGAATCACGAAATAATCTTAGATAAACCATCATTAAGAACCTGAAAGGATTGGATGACGATTTCGTCCCAGTATAAGACTCTCTAACAATGCTCATTCATGACCAGATATATGAGAGTCAAACCTAGAACCTTCGATCTCGCCTATGAACGAAAAGTTGTGCGTGTCAGTCATCATACTATGGAGTTTCCATTCATCCCTCTTCGTATGCGAAGAATCCCAATTATTCGTAATTAGGCATTACAAAAGAACTAAATCCTAGATATAATATAATGGTGCACGAAAATTTCAAAATGCAGTTTACTAGTGAATACATATGATGTAAATCAAACGAACCCCTGGTAAAAAGGTGGTAGGTATTCTTTGCCAAGGTCACAAGTGTTATATTTAGAAAAAAAGTGAGTGTAGAAACGTTACGATCAGTTATTACATCTTATCTATGAAGAGATTGTAGAGATTGCTCAATTTTACTGAGTTCAGGGACTGAATTAGGTTAGACAGTCAATGAAAGCTTGGAGAAGTATCATAGCTGTCCCTTACTAGTGTAGACTTCCTCAGTATTGCGTCTTTATGACCCCACCACCGGGGGTCGAGTTAAGGAGCTCCAGTCTCGCGCGTGAGCACTTAACCTATCGACCATTGAGCCGGGATCCACTGGGGTGCATATCTGACCTCAACCATTTCACGATATTGCGCATTCCTCATCCATTGTCTGCGGTGAATGACTGTCTTCAGACCTGACATAGTTAGACTCCGCTGGTCACAGCTTCTTATTAGAACTTCAGGAATTGCATCTTGAAGCTAGTTACTAGTGTTCACATAGTAAAAGAATTAGCTGTCCAGTGCTTTCTGGTTTTCATTAGTTGTTGAACTTGGGTTTGGTTCGTTATATTGGTGTTAAACTAGTTGTTAAAAGTAATTTACCTGTTGTAATTGGTGTTCTGATACTGTGGGAGAGCTTCGAATTATGTTCTCCATTTTTTCCTGTTTTGTTTCAAAAGACAACATTCTGGAAATGTTTATTCAACGCTTAAAAACACAAATGTTCAATTAGTTGTAAGTTATTGATTTCTGTTACTTTATCTACAGTTTGTTTGATTTTTTGTATATAATACTCAAAATAAAAAGTTTTAATTTACCATGATTAATCAACTGTTTCCTTTTTAGGGTTAAGCTCTAAACAATTAATGGATTTTCATGTATCTTATGTTCCGATAGCAAAAAACAAAATGATTATCACATTTCTAGTACATGGCGAATATTGAGCTTAGCCGAACTTCCGAAACTTTTCTACCAGAAACCATTGTTAGTTTTTTTCTTCAGTATGAACTGGAAGAGGTTGTTGGATTTCAATAAAATCATATATTGATCTATGTTAGACAAACGTTGAAAACATGGAAGTGCGGTCGTTTCATTCTAGTATGGGACTCCTCGGCAGTGGCAAATCCACGATTCCGCACATGGTGATCGAACTGAGGTCTTTAGTCCCGCGTACGCACGCCTAACCTCTTGGCCATTCAGCTGCCATCCAACGGTGGTCTAGAAGCTAGGAATTTGCACGCCCCTAGTTTGACTCCTCTGTGTGGGATCATGGATTTGTATCTCTGAGGAGTTCCATACCGGACCTGTTCTTTGTCCCATCGCATAACATGTAATAATAATATAATTAATCTTGTGAATTGTTTTCTCTTTTAACTGATTTTAGAGAGTTAAATAGTTTGGAGAATTAATGCTACCATATTTAATTTTTACCGGCTTTCAAAATAATTCTAAATTTAGCTTTTTATTTCAAGTTATTTATTGAGTTGTATGTCTCTAGGTGGAAAAAACCTTTGTCTAAATTAGTAGGACATTACCAGAATATCAATAATTAAATTGCCTGACTAAAATGATAAATAGTAGCTTGCAAAGTTTTCCATTTTCGTTTATTTACTCTATCATGACAAGTAAAAAGCTTTGTGATATTTATAATACTACTCACGTTAATAATGTTGAAGATGCTAGATACCCAGAAATCACTTGACAAAAGTCTCATTTTGGAGGTGTGGATTTCTCCTTTCCACGTGAAAGCACTCATTTTTATCTTCAGATTGTATTTCACACTTGGAAGGACCTTAAATATCATTGATTCATCTCCTTTTTTAGTACTCTATTTTGTGATATTTTTTAAGGGCAGGTTTGTACTGTATATACGCGCATGAGTTGTGTACTTGTTTGTTGATGCTTCCGACGGCTTGTGAAATATATGTATGTTCATATTATATTTATTTTATCGAACATATTTAGGTATGGACGAAGCATTGGATTTCTAACATGCCAAATTTATTCATGACTATACTGTCGTCATCGAAATTAACCACTTCACTTTTCAAGTATTCACCCAATGGTGATCTATCAAAACGTAGAATACTACCATCATCATCTCCTTCTTCACATGACTATTCATCAAATGATCCATCATCTTTGTCAAGTTTTTCACATAGTTTTCCACCTAGATGGCAATTTTCATCACATATTCCTTCTTTACACATCAATAATTCTACTAACAATGATAATACTATTGACAATGTAGATGGCGATAAGCTAAATTTTTATAAATCATCTGAAATAGATCCCAAAATAACGTCATGGGATGAAAAACTTACACGTGATAATTTCAATGTTCATAAAATGTTGGTTGTAGCTACTTCAGTTGGAAAAGTAAGTGTTCTGATTACTTACTTAATTGTGAGTTATCATTTCTAGAGATTTTATGGAAACTGTTTTTCTTCCTAATGGTCAATATTAACTGACTGTCAAAACGTCATCAGTACACCATACTGCATACTGAGTGAATAATGTATTGTACTTTGATCTACACTTGTCATATTTAATGATATTGTAGTAAAACTAAAAAAACCCATTAGTTGATAACGAGATCTGTCGAATTTAAGTATCGCTTTTTGTTAGTTTTATTTTCTACAGTAAGTGTCACTGAATTCATTATTGACTGTAAAACTTAGTATAGTTATCCAAATTTCTCTAAACGATTTCTAAAAATAATTTTTTTGAATATCATATCGTGTTATCAGTCAAAGTTGCCCGCGTACACAGCTTTGACCAACTATACGCTCTGATTGGCATGATCACCCTATATTTTAGACTACGGACCATATCTCAGACGCAGCAATTTGTTCTTATCTTCTTAAAATAATCATTTCCATTTATTATTCCTCGTTTAGAATGTGTATATTTATATTACTCTGGATTGTTTGGAGTACATTTAGCACCCTGACTGTTTTGACTGCGAAAACGTTAGTCCATATCACTTGATAAGTTTCATCACCAATAAGAATCTTGGAAATTTTCATGCACGTTATTGTCCTGAGCTTTGAACGGTCACGATTCACCTTGAATTAAGATGGGAATCCTTTTAGCTCTTGTTCGTTCACCAATAAACACGTCTTCTATTCCCAGGCTTGAGTATGAACAAGAAAATACAGTAGGAAAACATTTCAGGCACCCAGTATTATCTATCTCAAACAATAATTAGTTTATATGCATGAATTATCAGACGACAACTCACCCTGAATGAGGAATTATACTTTTAATATAATTAATATAGCGGTGCAGAGCAACAGTACAGAATTATTTGACAATAATTAAAAATAAGTCGTATAACACTAGTTAATAGGTCCTGCTTCGGTTTGGGCATCCGGGCAGTGTCACAGCCCTCACACATATTGAATGAGATTTATGTGGCGCATATGTATTTGGTGCTTCCTCGTACCAATATCTATGTGTGCTCCCATTGGAAGTATAACATGCATGGTATATAGAAAAATAATAATCTAGTTATCCAATAATCATATAATTAAAACATAATGATAATTCGTCTCAAAAGTTCGATTGTCTTCAATGCTCACTACGTTTCAACAAATAACCTACAATTTGTAAACATAAAATATTCTTACGTTATTTCATACGATATATATATGTAGGTCGTTTATTTAGTAAGTACATGAATTAAGGTCATGTAAACTATTTTATCAAATTTAATCCACAACAATCCCATCTCTTTCAAATTACTTCTCATTTAACCTCAATACACTTTTTCTATCACGATTATCATTGTTCAGATCATCTTTGGAAGTCCTCAGATGTCACTCTCTGACCTTGCATATCATCCTAACATTCTCTACTTTGGTATCCGTCAAATTTCTTGATTCAGGATTTTGTGAACCAAGATATTGTATGTGAGATTACAAAAGCCCTATCTGTTATTCTCAACTGTATATTAAACTGGGCAAGCTTCGCTGTTGGCGTGTTGAGACAAATAAAACGGACTTTAAACATCATTTTGTTTATTCTTTATCGTGTTTTAAATGATATGTATCCTCATTATGGCATAGTTCTTTTCTCCAGCTTTTTTAAACAATGAAGATTTCGTGACCATAATCTTTTTTACTTGTCATCTTAAACTATTTTTTAGCTGTTTGGTTTAGAAAGTGAACGTGGTCGTATTGTTTGGGATTATTTTGTCCCATCTGCAAAACTTTTAGCTAATGGAAAGCTTGCCCTCTTCCAACAGCGTAATTTGGCTCATTTTCCTTTACCACCTATCATGTCACTTTTATTTCGATCAAAGGTATGCTTTAATTCTGCTTTTTTTAATTTTATATATATATATATATATATATATATATATATATAGTTTAATGTATAGATCACAATTTCATGAGAACAAAACTATGTATATATCAGTATACCAATTTTTATGTGTTTAAATACATGAATAAAGTCATTGATATTTTTGTTATTTTTAAGTGTTTGGCGGCAATCTACAGAATGCTATGGACCTAGGTTTCATACTACTTACCACTCGTCAGAAAGCCATGTCTATAATGTTAACGAGAAATCGGTCATCAACACTAAAAATCATTTCATCGGTTACTAATCGGTGGTACATTAGTTGTAAGAATCTCAGTCCTATAAGAGGTCAATCAAGACTTGAATAAATCAATGGTAAAGTTTTTGATGGATACTGGTTGATTCAAACCTTATGGACAGCATCAATTTTCATTAAAAGTATAGATAAATCTTGATGATAAGTGGGAACTGACGCGATACCTTGATCAAAGGCATTCTTCCTATTTCCTCCAAACACTCAGCTTCTAAACATAATGAACCCGATGTTAAGTTACTTAGACTGATGACCCTATTACAGCTTGCTCAATAGAGTTTGTTAGGGATTAAGGATTAGATACAGATTATGTAATTAGTCTCGTTCAAAAATGTAATCAAAGCACTAAGTGACACATAGTCTCAACGGCGGCCTGCTTGAATATCTGGGCTACCTGTTTCTGCCATCTAATTATTTCAACAAGTCTGTTTTTTCATTTTGTTTTAACGTCTCATTATGTCCATTAATCGCATAAACTATACAGGCGCGTTTATAAAAAGCCTACTACCTTTCGCTGCATAAGTTACAAAAAAGACATCGTGGTGGTTGGCAATATGCGTTAAAGAGAATGAACATTAATCGTATGTCTATTCCCGAGCTGCTAAATTCTAACTGCCGATCACTAATCAACAAAGTGGACTATCTTCAATTCCTACTAAGTCAAAATATGTATCTTTATTGTGGTGTCATCACAATTCAAAAATCTTGGTTAAATGATTTACAAGACGACTGCGTGATTTCAAAATCGTCAGGATCGATCAAACAATAAAAAGAGGTGTAGCGGCGGTGTAGCTACGTTTGTAAACGTAAACTGGTGTCGATCTTCGTTTGTGTTTCAAGTTTTCAAATGACTTTATCGACTGTCTAACTCTAAGATGTCGTCCAAAACATCTGAATAAATACAAATATGTTTATGTTACCAATATCTACGTGACTCCAGATTGCACATCATCTGCGCTATCTGTTTTCGCTGATGAATTCACTGAGTTCGCTGTTACTGCCTTCAGTGATTCACTTTCAGTTGTATGTGGTGATTTCAATTCATGTGACTGTAGCTTCCTTACGTCACTAGGTCACCAAAATGTAGTAGATTTTCCTACCCGTTTGGATGCTCATTTAGACTTCGTTTTCATTAATGATGTGGGTATATATGCGACTCGTAAACGTGCTCCATTGTCTAGCTCGGATCACTGTATAATTCGTGTTCTACCTAAAGTATATGGAAAGCATGGGAAGAGTACACTCTTACATCAAACCAAGAAAGTCAAATATAGGAATTACTCAGAAGAAAATATCCGAAATCTGAAAAACATGTTTCATACGACTAACTGGGAATTATTTACAGATGACTCACTGGAAATCACTACTGATGTTATCACTTGTTACCTTAAATTCTGTTTTGATATTTGTTGTCCCACTGAAACCATTTTTGTAAGTTTTGATCGACTTACATCTTCACAACTAAAACGACTACGGAGGATGAAAGAAAGAATGTACAAGGAGAAGAACTCTAATGAAGTTCGTAAGCTAAATGGTCTGATAAACCTAGAGATTAGACGTCTCAACTGTATGTTTACTCAGAAACTCTTGTCTTGCAAAAACTCTCCAAGTATGTGGAAACTCTTTAAAGAACTTACAGGTGACAGACAGTTTAGAAGCGATAACCAGCTGAATGTTTGTGACTTAAATAAGTCTTTTGTACGTCAGTCATCTGATGTGATGCTCCCTTCATCCACAGGTTTAAAGAACAGCTGTGTTCCTACTTTCACTGAAACTGATGTACGATGTCTCCAGTCACTTAATTCATCCCGATGTTTGGGACCTGATGGTATCCCAAACCTCCTTTTTAAAAATGTGCTGACGTCCTATGTTATCCGTTCACAACTATCTTTAACAGATCCTTCTCATCTAATCTCATACCGAAAATGTGGAGAAAGATGAAGATAATTCCTGTACCCAAGAAAGCATCTGGTGATAAGAATGTAAAATTTAGACCTATTGCAATAACTTCACCCTTCCTCAAAACAATGGAAAAATTATTAATACTTCCACTTCAGCCTGCGATAAAAGAGCATATTGATCCATATCAGTTTGCTTACAGGTGCAAAAGAAGCACCTTAGATGCTGTTGCTGTTCTGCATCACAACATAGTGTTCAACTTAGAAAAGGGTAAGAAGTATGTTCGATGTGCTTTTCTGGACTATACTTCAGCTTTTGATTCTATACCAAGACAACGTTTACTTAACAAGTTAATCAGCGTCAACACTGACAGCTGGATAACCAACTGGCTATGTTCCTACCTCTCTGGAAGGGAACCGTACACTGTGTTTGGAGGAAAGTGTTCAGAGTCTCTACTGTCTCATGAAGGTGTACCACAAGGAGCTGTTCTTTCACCTCTTCTTTTCTCTTTTTTTCTGCATGATCTGCCATCTTTCACAGAAAACACTTTTGTGAAGTATGCGGATGATCTCACTGTATGTATGCCTATCTTTTCCTTTTTACATCCCATAGAAATGAATGAGTTTTTGTCTCGTATTGATTGTTGGTCTGGTGGTAATGGTCTTATACTTAATCCGTCTAAATGTCAAGCTGTTAACTCTAGCATGATACGTGAACGGCATCTAGACATCATTTTGAAATCCCATAATGCTTGTACCATTGGAGACTTTGATAAACACAGTGTCGAAGGTCAATTATCTTGGTGTTACCTTTTCCTCTGATCTCTCTTGGTCTTCCCACGTTTTATTGTTATCGAAGAAGGTTTTCTGTCTGACTTACTACATAAGGAGGTTGCATACTCTTGAGATTACTCGTCATTTACTCTTACAATTTGTTAATTCTTGCATATTACCTATTATCCTTTACTGTTTTCCATTATTCTTTCCCGGGCTTTTGAGAAAAGACTTTGCTGTATTGCGGAGAGTGCTGAAGGCAGTTAGCAAGGTGTGTGGTGAATTTTTCGAGGTCATAATTAATATGGTTGTGGATAGACATCTAAAGTCATGCAAACTCCTGGCAGGTGTTATTTTATTAGATACTAACCATCCCCTTCACTCTTATCTTTCTCCTTGTATATCTTCTGGTAGAACGAGACGTAATTACATTAAAATCCATGCACGCACGCAAAAGTATAAAAGTTCTTTAATATCTTACATAGCAAATATACTCTGTGATGAACAGGTTGTTAGAGTTAACCTAGTCAATGATCTGCATTCTTAACATGTCTCTAATTTGAAAAGTTGTAGTTTTTTTCAGATTTTCTTTGAAACCTTTTTCCCCCCTTTTTGTCTTTGTTTCTGTTTTTTGTGTAAGAAACTTGTTGCAATACCCTGTGCTGAGAATTCTATATTGTACCAAAATATAATATTGAATAAAACCATTAATAATAATAATAACATAATTTGCAAACCTTTTTCATCTTGTTTTGTAACTAACTCTCGTAGATAGCGCTATCTAAACTATCTTACTCAATAACACAAGGGTTTGTAAATTACGAATAGTGTTTATGGACTAGCAATATTAGATAGTACGTAGTCCATTTAATTCCACTGTGGTTGTTCACTGAAAGTGGAACTCGCAGTGTTTATCGCCAATAAAATCAAGTATGTTCACTGCCCATCCTCCCAAGAGAGTGTAGAACATTTGTTCCTATCAAACTTTTAGTGTAAATTTTCTCTGTTAAAAATTTATACTCATTGTTTATCTCTTTTCCCATGACATTTGTTGACTCTTAAAATTTTCACATTATCCCATTAAATTGTTTATTCGTAGATTACAAATCGACGGGTACTTTTCCCATTCAATCCAATTACTGGTGTTCCATCACATGAAAAAGGTATGGATTTGTATGCATTGAAATCGGATATTATTCAAACAGTCTTGGAACCTGGTTCTTTAAGCGAACGATGTGAATTTATTAGACCTTTGTTGTTGTTGAGGGCCGATTTAGACGTAAGTCAACTTTGAACTTCAAACATTCTTTTGCACAATACGTTGTGACAGGTATTAAAAAAGAAAGACTTTTAAAAATAATATTGGACAAAAATTGGTATTAACGCACTAGTAATTCCTATTCAGAATCAATCGTAGGACTTTTAGGTCTCATGATTAAAGCGATTCCACAACTGAACCAATAATCAATTGGGTCTATACACTGTTGTACACAACAGAAATCGGTCTTTCTCAGTTTTTTGTCCCCACTCTTTTTTCTTGCTATTTTGACTGAGAAACGTGGCCTATAAAGTAGAAGATGCACGTAGACTTCAGATACTTAATCATAGGCGTTTCGCAAGCTTAATAAAACAACTGAATAATCAACGTGATGTTAGGGGTAAGATATTTACTTTGACGAATCGATTTTCGAGACTATTGATCTTCATCGACTTTGGGCATATATCTCGGCGAGAAATTTTGGCTGGAGTCGAAATTGTTTGGAAGGGAACTGGGATGCCCCATATGCCATTGTATGAAATTACTGACTGTTGGAGAGGACTTTGTTGGTAGGTGGAAATTATTTGGTTTTGATACTCGAAGTAAAGGCGATTGATTGTTAATCTTGAGTAACATAACACAGGATCAGTGACCATTGTCCAAATACATGTATTCTTTTTTCCCCCTTAATCTTCAACCTTAATATAATTTCATACTTTCCCGTATTCTCTAATGCTAATTCTTACTGATTGTTATGAGTACAACTATTATTTCGACTCTCTTGATATCCCTCCTGTCCATTGCATTCCGATAAACTTATATGATATGGCAATTTGGGATGATGCACAATGATCCCAGCTCTACTTTATTTGCTTAATTGACTGAACGTTCTGTTTCTATGCTTTAATTAACGGTTATATGATATGAGTTGATTTCTCTGTGTTTGTTACATTGAGTGATCGCGATCACCTAAATGTAGAGATGTCCAACTGCTCAACTGTATTGAGTACTTTAATCAGTCTAAGTAAACTATCTTTAATCACTAGTCCTAAAAGCTTTCAGATTTATCAGTTTTGTAGCGTTAACCTTTAAGACGGATTATTGCTAGATACACTGAGGCTGCTGTGTCAGGTGTAAGGTGCTCACTGAAGACAATAGAAGATGGTCGCTCAATGTAGGTTGATTGAAGTCAGACTTCTAAGCCTTTGTATCTTGGCTCAGTGCTCTAATGCCATGGGTTCGATCTCCGTTTGCAAAGTCGTAGGTGAGTACTGCCGAAAAGTCCCACACTAGGACGAATCGGCCGTCCAGTACTTCCAGATTTCCAATAGCTGTATAAGTTAGATAGGTTCATGATTTCAGTTAAATTCAACAGTCTCCACGACCCCATACTAACATTTACTTCTTGTTTATTGCCACTAGATCTCAATAAAGTTATTGGTAGGACTTACTGCTTTTCATTTTCCTTTAAACCATTTTTGGGGATTGAAGGACCTTATGAACTAGTGGTTGACGATAACAATTCCGTTGATTGTCTAGACAGTTAGTATAAATCGCAGTAAAAAAACCATTTCTAATGTAGATTCATTAAAATTGTTATAAATCCTGTGTTTTTATACCTGAATTCATTAATAAAATCTTTTCAATATCGTAATTTGTTTGTAAAGTTTTTCACATGAACAAATGTCATCTTTACAATCTTTCTTTTTCTGTAAATAATAAATTTTAAATTTATAATATAGTGGTGTACATGTTTATAACACTGGATGCTGGGCCAGATATATGAAAGTTAACATTCTCAGTGAATTCTGAATGTCATTGCTTCAATCCCAAGTGGGGTCGTGGATGCTCACTTACGAGGAGTCCTATACTAAAACAAAACAGCTGTCGTGTATTTCTATTTTTAATGGTTATCTAACTTAAGTTGGTTTGTGATCTCAATACTACACAGTAATAATTAATTATTGATTCAATGATCTTGAAAAATCCATCTGACTATTACAGGTTGAAGTTTATCCATCTACTTGTGCTGCTACATATTCATCATCGGATTCACAGCCTTTATATATTTTTACTATTGAAAGTGAACAAGCTCGTCTTACCGGTTATCGGATAGATCCGGTATCTTCAGATGGTAAATCTTTAAAAGCTACACGTGTCTGGCGAATGTTATTGAGTCCTGATTCTAGTCCGGTTAACAAGCACATCATTGTCTCTGCAGCTTCACGTCCACCTTCTGGTATGATTTTACATTTATATATTTCAATTACTTTTTATTTTTTACGATATTTCATTGTTTACGAGTTTTTTTCACACATTCTCTTATTTGAGTAATGAGTTTATTCACTTTTTTTAAGTGGAAAAATATCCAAGTAAATAGTTTTACAAGCTTAACATTATTGTTTTTCCATTACTGTTGGTGTATTGTCATTGTCTTCATTACATTTTGTGTCTTATTCATGTCATTTTGATGTGCCGGTGTGAAATATAGGGACCATAATCGATTCAGATTTGTTTAATGTTCTGCTTTTTTTTTCATAGTTCACCTCTTAGCTATCTAATTATTAAACACTGATTATCTCAATCAGTTAGTTGAATGTCGGCGTAGATTCTGGCATAAAAAGTTGTGCATTGGCTTATGTCCCCATAACAATAATCAATTTGCACAAAAATCTAGTTTTTAGCATGATCAAATAATCCATTGAGTGTCCTCACTAGCATTGATAAAATGTTCATTTTAAGCGTGTTATTCATCATCTGATTAGGTCTTGTTGAAACATCTAGATTTTTGTCAATCATAATTTAGTCATAAATTCAAATTTACACTATTCATAGTTTCCTTATGTTTTTGTTTTCATCAAATTTTATTTTATTTTATGTTTCAGAACATATTTATTCAGTTGGTCGAGTATTGGGTGATAGAAGCGTTCTTTATAAATATTTAAATCCTAATCTCATTGCAGTACTTACTATTGGTGGTGATATCAGCAGTCATACAAATACTCTGGTAATTTATTTAATTGATGTTGTAGCTGGTCGAATATTGTATAGTGCTGTACATCGTCGATGTTCTGAACCTATTAGTCTAGTGCATTCAGAGAATTGGATTATTGTAAGTTGAACAAGTACTGTTTGCCAGATATTCTATATTATTTTGAATATATCCTTTGTACGCTTGTTTATTTTTGGGACTGCCCAGTGAGCAATGGTTAGGTTTATGTATAGTGTACTAATTAAATACAAGAAGTTGATTGATAACGTAAATCTACATCAACTGAAGTAGTTGAGACATATTGTACGTATATTCAACCATTGCTGACGTTAACAAGCGTTGCTGTCCGGTGTAGGAGTAGGTTGAAAGTAAGCTATGGGTAACCAAACCAAGATGTTGGTACCAATCTATCACTGACAATTGGATTTAATCATGTTAACGGATTTAAACTACTTGATTTAGGTTCGTTTGATTATCATAATCAGTAGTTAGAGACTTAGGGTTTGAAATGATGGAGATGCATTCATTTTTCTCTTCTCTTAGAATCTGAATCCCAAAATGCATCTACTTAATTGTGAGCAATTCTGAGCTGTGTCATCCATTAGTTTTGATAACCACATGGACTCCAACTAGGTATCTTACGCCATTCAACGATATTGAGTCCAATAGTCAATGACTTCGTGTAGTGGTACGATGTTTTAGTTTGGCCACCTCTAGCTACAAACAACACTGTTCTTTATAGACACTACTTGTTAATTCGCTAAGTTTGTTTTCCTGTTTACGGAGTACTATTTTGTATTAAAAGAAAATTGTATAAAGAAGCTTTATAAAATTTTATACGTTATATTATTGCTATGATCGATAATTTTCTCGGCTTATCTCACCAAAATATCTAGGTAACGGAATGTGAAATTGTTACATACCAATGTAATCCATTTTTTAAATTAGTAATATAATTCATTACACAAGTACGTATTCTATACTTAGCTTTGAACCATCTTTATCTGTTTAGCGGCTGTTGATACCTTGCTTGGATGCCTAAATAGAAACCAAGATTTTAACATGTGGACCTTACTAGCTGAACGACTTAAACACGAACAGTACTGATTATACATTATGACTTGTTTGCAGTTATGTATAGCTACACGTTCTGACAAGCAATACTATGTGAATAATTAGTGGTTTTACTTGACTAATGAAGGTTTTATCTTGTTAGGAAACGTCTTATAATTAGTCGATGAAACTTTAAATGTCTTATTATTTCAATATTACTGTTTTGTTTAAAATACCATGCAAAATTTTTTATCCATACTTTTTTCCAGTACATTGTTGTGATGTTTTTTCCCTTCAAATTTCTTTAAAGTATACTTATTATAATCATAAATCATTACGCAATGAAGCTACTGTTATTGAATTATATGAACCGACTAAATTATCCGGGGAATTATGTGCTAGTCAGTCAATTCCAAGCCCTTGGCAATTATTTCTCAGCAATCTTATTCCTTCATGGCTGTTATCTAATCCAAGTTCATCAAAAGGATCTGGTGATTTATCGGGTTTTTCACGTTTCTCATCTTTGTTTCGTGCTAGTGATGTTGATGGTTTTTGTGGTTCAACTGGTGAAAATTCTTTAATACCTCAAGTTCTACAACAATCTTACATACTGAACACTCCACCACGTAGTGGAGCAGTGACTGTTTCAGTTACTGAGAGAGGAATTACCGCTAAGAATATAATTCGTGAGTAAAAATGGTTTTTGTTTCGATTCTTTATTTAAAGTCTACATTATTTTTAGTTGTCTCTGGGGCGTTAATCGATATTATTTGCTAGATTCACCGATTGGAATTCTTACTACTATTCCTCTACCTCCGCGTATCCTGTTCGGTCTATCTATAGTTTAAACCCCTTAGCTTTGACCGATGATATGTTCGGAGCGGCACGATTAACCATAAGCTGGGGTTAACCTAAGCTTAACTTCTATCGGTTTGTTAATCCCCAGTCCTGAGTTGGAAGAAGAGAAGACAACAGTCAAGCTTTGTTTCTTACGTTCCAGTCATCCAATATATCTGTTTCAAACATGGTAAAAGCAAACTGTACTGACGACCTTGAGAGACTTATTTGTCTATCAGGAAACAGTGTTCAGTTATAAAACAATTAATAATTAGAGGAAAGAAAATAAGTGACAAAAAGTTTTGTCATGAATAATTAACCTTTACGTGTTGAATCACTTATTATTGTAATAAGAGAAGGCTAAATTTATATTATTAAATTTCGGGCTAATGTTACGATTTAGGTTTGTAACCCTGTGAGGTTTTTGTCTCCAACTTACATCAACTATAATACAATGATGTTTCGTCATTCTTTTATTTACAAACTTAAGAAATCTAATGTTGAGATTCGGAGTTAGGAGTTAGCGTAGGAGAATACTGCCAAGTTACTCAAACAACCTTAACTAAAAATACAAATACATAAAGTGCTCCAACATGAAAATTTTATCAAGAGCAAGGGTTTATTGTGATTTAGCATCAGCACAATGTCATTCATCGATTGGTTGCATAAAAGACATATGTACCAATTTCACCTATTCTATAAACTGAATATTAGCTATTTTCGCATCGTTAATAAAAACAAGTTATCTTTCGCTGCGCTTTAGATTTCAACCAAAAATTTATGAGCTAATATCGTAACTCGGATTAACCATCGATATACCATACTTCCACCCTCAAGCACTTGTTCGTTCGTACATGTGAATTATCAGATCACAACACACCCCACATAAAAAGTCATTCTTTACATACAATCATGCCGTTAATGCTAGAGAACAGAGCAAATGATACATAATTGGTCAACAATAATAAAAAATAATCAATTGTATAGAAGTAGTTGATAGGTTCCATGGAAGATTAAAATACAAGTAATAAAGAAATGTAATAATTCGTAATTTGATCTCAAGAATTACACTTACTTTAATATCCCCTTCTGTTACAACAGTAGTAAATTAATCTTCGCATTTACTATTCTCTAGCGCTTATACATGAAGATCATTTTCCAATGTAACATGTCTTCAAGACAAGTATTTAGGTCATTCAAAAAATTTCCAAGTGACTTGTCTTCTTTTTCTACAAATTTCCCATGAAGTTATACAGAAAGACATAATATTCTCATTGTATCATGTTGTTTTTAGCCTTGCTTATCCATAAATTATGATTTTGACTGGGAATATTTTGTAAGTACCTGTTATAACTTGTGCCCTGTTTATTGTATAACTTAATGATACCGCCAATTAGAGAGCAGTGAATTATCGATCGGACCAAGGACGCGTAAAACCCGTACGAGCAGTCTAGAGTCCTTATTGGTCCTGCTTTCCACCTAGCCCATCCAGTTAAGTCCAGAACACCAATCTCAGCCTCTGCAATAGAAATCATTTATTTTAAACATTTTTAAACATTTTAAACATTATCCATTTATTTGTTATCTAAAAGCATAGTTTAGTTTTAGTATTTACGCATTATATTTTCAAATTAGGTTGAAAAGTAGTAGATATAATTAGTCTTAAATAAACTCTGGAAAATATAAACAACAGTGTACTTTGAAGAGTGATGCATGTAAATTTATTTTTTTACAAAAATACTAAAATCTTGATTTCGTTGACAGTTAAAAAATCACTTATTTATCTACTTAAAATTGTATTTTAAAGAAGAGAATATTTCAAGAAGTTATCTTGAATCAAGCTTTATTTTAGTCTCTAGGTTGCTTGAAAGGTAGATGGTGTATAATTGTGACCTTTTCATATATTAAAAAGATGTGTAAGTATATTTTATTTTTCGAGAACACTTGAACTTTCATTCTTTTCCTAGAATTACTGAATAAATTTATGTTATCTTCGATTATTGACCCTGTTTCTTATGTTGGATGTTGCTTCCGTTTTTTTAAGCCAAAACCACTACATTTGTTAATTCTCAAAGATTAATTCCATATCAAGTCTGGTATGCAAGTATATTTCAAGAAAATCAGATTGATAATGAAGTTTAGTTAATCTGATCCTTTTTTCTTCATTTATTTCCACACTTAAAGCAGATGTGTTAATCTATTTCTAGAAAATTTATCGAGATATGGTTGAGGAAGTTGATAGGAAGCCGTAGACTTAGTTTTCGTAGTTGTAAAGACGTGTCAGTGAGGTATACCTGAAATTTTAATGACAGTGGGACTCGACTTGCGTTACCTAGATTCGCAAACTGAGACAGTATCTCTGGTTTATTTGAATAATATGAGACTGTGAAATCAGGTGATGCATATTGAGTCCTAGAATTAGGCTTTCTCTCGATTTTCACTTATTTTGACTTTTTTTAAAAATATGTTCGCAATAATGTCGCTGAAAAATTTTCTTTTAATTTTTCAGTGGCTTTACAGAGAAATAGTCTAATTGAACTCCCGAAATCATTTTTCGATCCCCGTCGTAGTTTGGATATGACATCTGAACTAATGTAAGTACTTAGAATTTTGTATTACTGTGCCGTGTTATTAGTTTGGAGATAATGTGGTTTGTATTATTCAACGATACCATATGTCGTTGTTCAAGTGGTTGAGATCAAATTTTCAACCGTTTTTATTTTGTTTCCCAATAAGATTTTTGTTTAAAGATGCAGGACTACAGGTCTACGAAATATGTTTTTAAAATTGCATTCAAGAACATGTGTTGAAGATGATGCTTAAGTTCTACCTACATTTGAATAATACAACGTAGAAGTTAAAAATTTCTCGTAATGAATCGGCTAAAAAAAAACTAATTACTCTCTTTTTTAAATATTCAACTGCTTTGTTACCTCCTAATAACCCTTCTAAGTATCTACTTATAATCGGTTAAATACTTCATAGCAAAACGTCTTATTCATAGCTACCTTTACCAGCCCCAGAATTCAAAAAACTACTACTAATATGCACAACAGATGTTCAATTCCAATTTAACGACACCATATATCGCCAAGTCGATGGCGTAGCAATGGGTGGTCCACTAGGTCCAATTATGGCAGATATTTTTATGGGGTATCTTGAAAACACGATACTTAAACAGGCAATTAGTGAAACAACGGAATACTCCAGATATGTGGACGACACATTATCTGTAATAATAAACAACATGCAATCCGCCTGCTCAAACTCTTCAATAACGCTCATAATAACATACATTTTACCATGGAGTACGAACAGAACGATATGTTCCACTTTCTTGATGTTGCCATAAAACGCAGGGGAGACGGGACAGTCCAACGTTCAATTCATAGAAAAAGTAATTGGAATGGCCTCTACCTGAATTTCAATAGTTTTTGTCCAATTAGTTACAAGAAGGCGTTGGTTAAAAACACTTTTACAGGGCACAAAAGATATGCACCACCGACAAACTGGAAGAAGAATTAATGGACGTAGGAAAATGTCTAAAAGATAACTTTTATCCACAAAAGTTTATTGACAAATATAAAAGGCCCAAAGAAAAGAAGACGGAAATAACTATGGTGAATAAAAAGCCAGTATATATAAATCTTAACTTTAAAGGTGATGACGTCGCACAAATTATCAACAAGAGACTGAATATAGCGCTAGCCAGAACTTATCCGGCTGCTAAACTTTTAATTCTCTATAAAACAACATGTTCAATAACCCAATCAAAGATCGACAAGCAACCCTTTCATGTTACCGCCAACTGTATTTATAAATTTACGTGTACCTGCCAAAGCAGCTACATCGGCCGAACTGAAAGAAGAGCATATCTTAGATTCTTTAAACATGTTCCAAAAAGTCTTAGAACAAGGGAAAGAAAGACTCTGAACAGTGCAATCACCAAACATCTCTTTGATACAGGACATCAAGTAGATACCTTACAATCCTTTAGGGTGATTATTAAGCAGCCAAACTCCAGTCTTCTGAAGCTTGCTGAAGCCATTGCCATCAGGCGTCAAAAACCTGACCTATGTATTCAAAAGCAGACGGTGGTTAATCTTTCCTTGCCCTGGTGACAAATATTCCTTCATTGAACCTTAAAAATTTTTTCTTTTTTCTGTTGCATTTATTACATCATTGATTCTATTTTATTTTTTCAACTATCTTTCAAATTAATAATCCTTCAACTGAACTCTAATCACTATATTCCTATCAATGTTTATTCATTATGTAGTCAATTGTTTCTAACCCATTTTTGAACTGTTGTCACAATTAATGTTGTAGAATATTCTTTCACATTAGGTATATATTTACAATATTCAGTAAGCAATTTAAATCCATTATGCAATTATGATTTTTAAATATCACAGGTCGTAAGCAGCTGATGAGAACCTACGAAATAAAATGAATTCATGCTATTCTGCTAGAATCTTTGTTCTTGATCTTTTCATTATTCATAGCTTTCTTTCCCTATTACGTGACTGTACTCCTTTTAGTGATTAAAATGATTATGTATTTTCTGAAAGGGTGATAACGCAACATCAAAATTCATTAATAACGTGACAATACGAGAGTACGTATTGAATTTAATGCCCTTTTTGTAAATGCTAATTTTTTTTTTAATGTTCCAGGGAAGAAGGTGTTCACCCTTATGCTCCTGTGCTACCATTTTCCGACCAAGCTATGATTACATATAATCAGTCAATTATGCGAATTCGAGCTATTCGTACAGCACCTACCGGTTTAGAGTCCACGGGATTAGTATTTGCATACGGATTAGGTAAGTATGAAATATATTCTTAGTAAGTCGGTAGCTTTTTTTGTAAGTGTTCTCCTTCCACTTTTATACTAATTGAAAACGTTTAATTTTGTTTTAGCTATATAATTAAACTGTTGAATTTGTAGAGTGACACTTGATGTGAAGAGTTTGCTTGTAATGAATCAGGTCTAATCTCTTGTGTAAATGAGTTTCGTTAGCATGTCCTTAATCTTATTACTACTAATATAGGTAGGTACATCGACTGAGATGGCTGTGCCACATATTACGCATGCCCAACTACCACGGCGCGCAATGAGGTTTAGTGTTAAAGGCGAATAAAAGAAAGTTAGTGGCAACCAGGCCAAAACATGGCATCAGTTCATAAAGTCACTAACTTCTGGTCTGAGCCATGTTGGTAGATACAGACTACTAGTTTGGTGTCCGCGCTATTATCTTAGTCAATGGTTGGAGATCCGGATGACATGTATCAGAATCGGTCACAATGATATAGGTGTATACACTTTTTGTCTGTCCTTAAACTAACTGTGAGATTAAAATTACTTCATACGTTTCTTTCTGCGAACCAGTTCTCTTACTCTGTATCATATCCTCATATGCAATTTTTTACTACCATTGAAGTAACCACTTCTATCAATTTGGTGATCATCTTGCGCTAATGAAGTGCGGCAACGTTGACCGATGTATATATGTACCTGGTCCTACGTTGTAGCTTACTGACTGACTGAATACTAGTAGTGGTACGTTAGTGTGTTTTAAATTAACACAACGTTAACTTGTGTATGTTGGTTGAAAAAATTCAACAGGATACGAATTACATGCAAATTTGCATTCCTCATCCCACCTTACATACATAATCTTTTGAAATTCCGACTGAAACATTGTACAAGATCTTTCTATAAGTTTACCTTAAATCCCACCTATCGTTCAAAACTTAGCCTCACTGTAGACTACTGGCGACCATCGATGATTATTCTTATACAAAATTTGTCTATTTGTTCTTCATTATAACATGACGGTGACGATGATGTTGGGAAACTTCTCAATTTGAACTCCCTTATTCAATATTGTTTTCTTTCTCATATTTCAGATTTGTTTTTCACTCGAATATCACCTTCACAAACATATGATTTACTTAAAGAAGATTTCGATTATACTGCAATAGCTACTGTCACATTAGGAATGATAATTGCTTCCATCGTATCATGTCGTTTAGCCACAAGACGGGCAATTCTTAGAGCTTGGGCTTAATTTCTAGTTCATATAGATTTATTTGTTTTTTCTTTTTGTATGCTTATGAAAAATGTGTATGTATGATTTATTTGACCAGTATAATTCTTCTTTACATTTGTAATATTTTGTATACTTTTGTCAATGTTATGTATGTATAAATCAATGTGTTCTCATTCATATGAATTCTGTTCAGTTAATGGTTTTTGTTATATCCAAATCTTGAATTTTCGCTCTACATTGAACAACTTAAGCACTAGAACGCTTGAACCATCTAAGTCGCAAGTTAGAAGACAGAAGACCAGTGGAAAGAAATCTCATTCCAACCACTGTCAAATATGGTACAAAAACACTTGGGTATTCATAGCTTTTAGTAAAATGAAATCATCATAACAATCATCCAATCCACACAAAGTGGTTTTTAGCATTTGTCTAATGAGGAAGCTACACGTCAAGATTCTGGAATGCTCTTCTAAACGATGATTAGATGGACTGTCTCCGGTTTTTTCGGAACTTGAGTTCACCGGGAGCCGTTTCCACACCTCCCCTCTTTAAAGTGTCTTATGTAAATCTTTCCGCTTGGGTTCACTTGAGACTTCTCAATCACACTCCTCTTGAAAGTTGTACTGTTTCGCCCTTTCGTCACCTATGTCTTCGGCTTTTGTTCTCCTCAGGTCTTTTTTAAATAAGTGAACATGCATTTGAAACGTCATCTTTGTGTAATCGTTAATCTACTATCCCTTTAGATTTAATTGACACGTCTTGTAGAGGTCCCGAAACTTGTGCGAACTAAATACAGTATTTTTTCAACCTGACATTCAATGACACCCGGTTCCCACTTTCTATTACCTTGATAAGTGCCCTTTCGCCCACCTGAAAGCTGCGATTGACCGTCTAATATTCGTTTGTGAGTTTATTCGTCGTCCTGGGTGGCAACATAATAAAGGTTGTCCGAACTTCCCGGCACTTTCAGATTGGGTGTGACTTTGCAGGACACGAACTAGAACACCTCATCTTCATTTTATCAGAGTCCTTTTTATCGTACCCACAAATCTTTCTACTTGGTCATTCGATTACGGGTGATACGAAGGAGACCGTGATGCGTGATCCCATTTTCACTGCAGAACCGTTTGAAAGAGGATGACTTGAACTGAGTGCCATTGTCATTTATTAAGATCTCTGGAAACACTAAACAAAAACCTTGACAATCTGTTGTGTTCTCTGACGTCACGTTCGGCATATCGTATAATTCCGGCCACTTCGTGAAAGCATCCATAACAACCAACTAGTTTCTGCCGTGTATTGGATTAACGAAAATAGCGTGTATTTGCCAAGGCCCGTCGGGTTTCGACCATAAGATTCTTTGCGACTTCTAGACAGGACCAACAGCTACGACACTTTTGTTCTATATCAAAGTCTATTGACGGCCAGTATGCGTAACTCCGAGTCAGTGACTCCATCTTACTTATTCCCGGTTCCCACTGTGGAACTGTTTTAGAACTTGCTGTCGAATAATTCTGAGAATAACAATACGGTGGTCAAACATGGTGCACAAATCGACAGTTCCCAGAAAGTCTCGTCGAAGTGAACGCCGCTAGTTAAGTATACAACGGCGAACGGTCCTCAGTGTACTATCCTTCTCACTAGCTTTAATGGCTTCGAACGTGACCGGCAGTCCTATAACTGCGTCTGTCAACACTGTGAACTTCAGCTTCTGCAAGCAGCTCTTGTTTTGTACAGAAGCCAATTAATCTTGAAAGGGCATACGTCTGTCCGAAATCCGTTGTCGGTGTATACTTTATCTTGAGATCATAGCCCAGCAGTGCAGTTGCTCATCGTCGCAGGCGGTCCAGTGTACACAGGGATACCCTTATGGGAGCATCCGACTATGTTCAGATTATTCGACAGGACTATACGAAGCACTAGAAGCTCACCAGTACTTTTCGCCCTTACCGGAAGACTTATTCGCAAAACTAAATAGGGAGAAGTACTTCGCAAAGCTGGACTTTTCAGATTCCAGTATCTGAAGAATGCAAGCATTACACATAAAAAATAGCTCAAGTGCAACAGGATCCTTTTTGTATTAAAGACAGCTTTATGTGATTTTACACCATTTTCATATTTCTTAGTACAGTGGAAACCAGCGGTTTACAAGACATACCAACTGAAGATTTCTTTTGTAAATTGTACCTGTGATACTGAGTAAATTATCGTGATCATTTAACTATTTGGCTCATATGAAAATATGATGCAGGCCGAATGTGTTTTTTTGCTGCGGATCAAAAGAATATTTTAAAAATGAGTCTTCTCACTATTTCACAGTCGTCAGGCTGTATTTCTGCCACTTCCTCACATCTAAAGTTTGACTTCTCATCTTATGTCCACTAATTAGTAGGTAGACTTATGTGGAAGAGGGGTAGATATGTTATTACATCTTCATCTCTAAATGACTGAGGACTGTAATGGTTATTGAGGTTCAATAACAGTATTTCGGACTTTGTAGCTATGTCCGATTTATTGCGCAGTACTATCTTGAAATTGTCTACAACAGAAGTGTGATTATCTGAAGAATTCGTTTACAAAACTTTTTTGGGGAAGATGGCAATATACATCCCCGACTCTTCATTGTTACAAACTGACAGCGATTACACAGTGTTGCCCAGCTTTTATCTGTAACATTTTGAGAACAGCCCTTACAGAGTTTGTGATGAACATATCCTATCTAAAGTAAATGGGTGATACTGATTACTGTATGGGAACACAAACCACCGAAACTGCACCTGGCAACTTTTGTCCTTCGTGTTCGTTGGTACGAGGTGTCACTCATTCTCTATCATAGTATCTCGTGTGTTTGGACTACCTGCTTTAAAGCAATAAACCCTAAAACTAACTCAATGTCTTATTATTATTCATCCGTAGGTATTTTTCTAAGTTAGTTAAATTTTCTTTGTATTGCTGCACGAAGAACAAGTGTGGGGTAAAGCCCTCTTGGTGTCTACAAACAAACAGAAGACAACTAAGTTTTTATATAACTGCACTTGAAGATATTACGTACGCCAGTTGACATGTGTTCTTTGGTCAACATGAGTGAAATACCATGATTTATTGTGATTAAAAATATAGTGACAAACTGCTTTAATAATATCCACACTTCAAACACAATCGTAGTCGTGAAAGCCAAATTTCTGAAATGACAAGTGCTTTTCGCTCTCCATATTCTCATATATTGACGTAATTATTCATATTCTTACCGAAAACGTCATGCTTACTTGAGCAATGTTAAGGTTACTGATTTCTGCTGATCAACGCATAAAGGTTGTGATCAGAAAACTTCTTGATGTAGTCAAAACAGGCTATCATAATTGATAAAGCAAGTAATCTTTGACGGTCAATTAACTTCTTATTTAGATTGTTATTTATCGGAGATTTAAAGATGGATGAATAATTGCAGATACACATTGAACATTCTAAGACTAGGGCTAATTTCGGGCTTCTGATTATGCATCGTTTTAGTTACTTTGATGTGTGTGATCAGTCTCTTAGAATGAAGATAATAGCCCAGTTGACCTGAATTAATGGTTATAATATGTAGCACTTAGACGGTCCAGATCCTTGTTGTCGTCGACAAAGTCGATGCGTTGTGAGCTTCTACTTTATTTAATTGTTTCTGAGGAAAAGCCAGATGAGGACACTTGTCTAAAACACAGATCACCTAGACCTTTGAATAGTAAAAATAAATAACAAGACGAATTGACAAACATTAGTTATTTTAATGCAGACTGAAGACTAACTGTTTAATAAAAATACCCTGTTACAGAGATATAGTCTATGGGGACGAATAAAAAATGTCCCAGATATTATTTTGTAGACAATGAACCAGATAATCTATGTGTATCAGCATTTTAATATACTGTAAGGAATTGATTGGCTTAAAAAACCGTTTGTAAGGTTAGATAGTAGCAATCGAGTTTTATCTTTAGATGTTAGGAATTACATGTTTTAGCGAACTTATCTTTCATTTTTTCTTGATTGCATTTCAAGACATTCAGCAACCCATAAGAGTTTTCTAATAACTATAAAATTCATACGTATTATGATTACGTAATACTTTCGAGTAGGCTTGTTGTGATTCGGCAATTGCCTTATCATAAGAATTTCGAACGACTAGCTTCTTGCTTAGTGAGTCATTTATTTTCGCAAGTTTCTCCGAAATAATCCTCATGTCATGCTGTAGACGGTTTTTTTCATCATCTTCCTCGATAATTGCTTTCTGTAACTGATTTTCTGACACAAATCTTCTATCACTTAACTATATCAAGCATTCAGAAAATTGATATTACGTTTTACAAGTTCAGTGTTGTGTTGCTGAAGAATTTGTGCGTCATGTGCCATTTTCGAAATTGTTGTGCTTTTGGTGCTAGGATCCGTGATAATGTTTATCAATATCCAATATCTTTCCCACAAACTGGTATTATGTATTTGAAGATAAGGCGGCGTTCTTGATCCTCAAATTGTCCAGTGAGTGTTGTAAATTCACTAAATGTATTAATCCAAATATTTTCAATATTTATTTGAGGATTGTGTCTGGTGTTAAAGAATATATGTTTACCTAAGTTCAAATGGTTGTGATTGGATAGAAGAAGCTTTCGTTTAATCGGCTTCCTTGTCTAGTAGCAGTGGATCACCAATACCTCCAGGCAGGAACCTTGGCATATTAACGATGATAGAGGAAAAAGAAATGGGTATATCATGGTGAGATATTATCCTAAGTATAGGTCAAGTTTCCTCTTAAAGGGCTCCTGGGGAATCGCTTTGACCAGCTCAGCAGACAGCGAATTTCAGCATTTGACAACTTTTAAGGAGTGGAAGTTGTGTCGACAGTCCGTTCTGCTGTGTTGCGTCTCCAGTTTCTGGGTGTTACCTTTTAGGTTTGTGTTGGACCTAAACTTAAGTATGTTAAAGTGTTAAAGATATTGTAAGTCATTAGAAGACCACCTATAAGACGCCTATAATTCAATGGG